AAATTATTATTATTTATTTATTTGATCAAAACCATATCCTTTAGTACACCCTTGAGTCGCTCAGAGGCTTGATGTGGTGCAGGTACCCCCTTCCCACCCCAAAGATAAAGTGATGTGTAAGCTGCATGCTCCAGGAAAGTTTTGAGCTCATGGTATCTCTGCTGATGCAGCAGAGGGGGAAGAATGATGCAAAGGGTGCCTTAGTGTGATTGGGCCCTTCTGTGGAACAACCAGCTCACAAGCCATCTTAATGGCCTAAGTCGTCTAGAGCAGTGATGGCCAAACTTGGCCCTCCAGCTGTTTCTGGACTACAACTCCCATCATCCCTAGCTAACAGGACCAGTGGTCAGGGATGATGGGAATTGTAGTCCCAAATCAGCTGGAGGGCCAAGTTTGGCCATCACTGGTCTAGAGGAAAGGCAGGATAATAAAACAAGTTCATACAGGAGAGTAAGTGCATCCATAGCACTTACCTAATTCATGGAGCCTTTCACCAGCCCAGGTGTATATAAGTCAGATCTCAGGTAAGAGATTAGTTAAATGTATGCAACAGTTTGTGTTTCTAGAAATCCCCGAGTTTTCTTTTTATTAGACGATAGCCAATATGTAAGAGTCATATCCAACGCGCTGCCCAACTTTGTCTCGGGCAACATCCGCCATTAGCATGTAGGACCACCATCAAGGTTGCCCCGAGAACATAGCCCTTGGGCTGAAGAAAGCTTCCACACATCTAATGTGGGCAGTAGAGAAGGTGGACCTTTATACATCTAGGTAGGAGAAGATGCAAAGCATGACTCGGAAGTTCATTGGGGTGGCGGTTGGAATTACGCTAAGAACCTTTTAGCCAACCCTTTGACTAGACTTAACCATCCAGGGGTCCTTTACCTTTACTATGGAGGAACATACAGGATCGCAATGTAACAGTAATAAACTAGTTACAGATAGGTAGCCGTGTTGGTCTTCCATAGTCAAAACAAAAAAAATTCCTTCCAGTAGCACCTTAAAGACCAACTAAGTTAGTTCTTGGTATGAGCTTTCGTGTGCATGCACACTTCTTCAGATACACTTCAGATGAGTGTATCTGAAGAAGTGTGCATGCACACGAAAGCTCATACCAAGAACTAACTTAGTTGGTCTTTAAGGTGCTACTGGAGGGATTTTTTTTTTAGTAATAAACTAGTGATTTGTGATGCTCTTAGAAGGGAAAAGTTTGAATGAGCCAGCTTTAAAAAAATAAACAGATGCTTGGTCCCAGAGGTACTCTAGTCCAGTAGCACCTTAGAGATGAACTAAGACTTAGTTGGTCTCTAATGTGCTACTGGACAATTTTTTTATTTTTTATTTATTTCAACTACCTCTGTTTTGTTTGATTGAAGGGAAGAAAGACTCTCTGCAAAGGAGAAGGACAGACACGGGGTCAGTCTGGTCCAATGGAACTGATCTGGCAGATTCATTGGTCTCTCTTTCCTTCTCTGCCTCCCTACTTTCCTTCAGTAAAGGGAAGCAAGAGGGAGAATGAACATCTACCTGTTCAGTCTCCATAGTGATGCTGCTACTGAGAGACAGGGAAAGGTACATTGAGGCTGTTTTGCCCCTTGGCTGCCCTCTTGAGAAATAGCACCTGGGTCCTAAAAGTTGCTGGTGTGTGTGTGTGTGTGTGTGTGTGTGTGAGAGAGAGAGAGAGAGAGAGAGAGAGAGAGAGAGAGAGAGAGAGAAATAGTTTCTTCACTGTATTTTGGAGGTGCAAAAGAGAGGGAGCAGGATGAGGGAGAAAGGCTCAGGTAACTAGATCGGTTGAACAACTGCCTCCACCCCAATTTATCTGCAAGGCTGGGCTAATCTTTTACTTCCTATTTTGCTACCCAGCTTTCAAAATGGCTGAGAGCGTTTCAAACCATCTTTCTGATCCAGTCAGCCTGAAATCTGGCATGTGCATTTATAGATGGGGGTTTGTTCCCATCTTTATAACTCCTGTGGCAAGAGTGTGGACACCCAAAAGGGCATCTGCAGTGTCTTATGCTAGCGTACCTCGATAAAAGAACATTTGTCTATATCTGAAGGTGGTTTTCACAGCGTTTGTCCCAAACTTCCATATTATTGTTCTTAGCCAAGTGGGAATTAGCCATATTTGCTGGGGAAATAAATTGTCGACAGCATTAAAGCACCTGAAAAGCACGGGTGGAGAAATCAGAGATATCACAGACGCCGCTCAAAATGTCATTTGAAGTCGAGAGTTAATTTCAAATTCAAGTCACTTGAGAGTATATCATTTTAAAGAAATGCCATTGGTGGGTCAAGAGCTTCAACAGACATCAATAAAGCTCAATAAAGCGTTCCGAAGCAATTTCTGCTCTCGGGAGTTGCCACGCCCCTCCAACCAACAGCTATATTCAAAACTATTGTTAAATAGAACACAGCGTTTTCGGTCACAAATTGCTTCTAGTGAAGTGGCAGTAGTCGACGCTACTTTGCTTTCTCTGCCCAGCTCTGCTCCCGCTTGCTAGTATTTAGTATAGTTCACGCAGAGACTGTGGAGGAAGGGCCACACTGCACGTTCCACTGACATGTGTAGCTATCTCTTCATTTTTCACCTTAATTAGCTACCACTGCAGCAAGGTGATTCTTACTGAGAAGGTAGCACCCAGAGAACGGAGGCTTATCTCTTCCTTGCTCCACTAAGATTGGAATGAATGTTGGGGAATGGCATAGAGGTTTATCACAAGCAGGGCCGGCCCACCCATGAGGCAAGGTGAGGTGACTGTCTCGGGCGGCAGGATTCATTGGGGCAGGTGCTAGTTTCCTCCCACCCTTAGGGAGGAAATGGCAGGGGATGTCCTCTGGAGTCTCCTAGGGTCTTCACCCTCCCAATGCGATTCCAGTAGAGTCCCTCCCCCTCCCCACTGTGACAGCTTTGATTCCCACTTCAACCATCGGGTAAGGTTGATTTGTTCCCAGTGTAGATCTTCACTCACCCCTTCTTCCCTGGTGAGGAGAGGCACCATTTTGTGGTTCACCTCCGGTGCCAAAATGTATTGGGCTGGCCCTGATTCCATGTCCCAACATTGCCCGATGTCCTGCTGAGATGGGCTGGATGAATATTTCGCTCTATTTGCAGATGCTCCCCTAAAGAACAGCCAGAAAAGGAGAAGAGACCTATTGTAGCGCACAAATAGGGCTGCAAAATTAGAGGCCTGTTTTAACTAAGCCCTGTTTTTCTGTTTGTATCTCTTGTAAAAGAGGTCTTGGTTCCAGCCTGCAGTCTTTGTAATTTACATGTGTTGGGTGCGCGTCCTCTTCTGTTAATACGAAATTATGTTTATGCTTTGAGGGGACGTGAAGAATATTTGAGCAGTCAGATGCTTAATTTAGTATTTTTCAAGCTCTGTTGTTGGGAATTCTTTGGAAATCCTAGCTAAGTGTCCTCAAGAAGATTAGTGAAGGCACGCAGGCTTCCCTGAATGACAATTTGCCTTTTATTACTGCTCTCCACTTACAAGGAGTTGCTGTAGGAAAGGATTGGGAGCATTGTGGAGCATGCTGTGTTCCATTGGAAGGTGACCATGTCCGAAAGGAGTGTTGAGCACTCCACATGAACTTAAGCATTAAGCATACCTCCGGGAAATGTTCTGGAATCCTCTGCAATGGTTCCTTGGCAGATAAATCAGCGATAGACGGAGATTTCCCCTAGTAAAGAGTTCGAAAACCACTGGGTTGGTTTTTTAAAATAAAAAAATAAATGGGAATTCTACTTACTATTTCTAATTTATGTGATACTTCTCAATACCTGCATGGGGCAAACGTTTCAGTATGGGGACATAACGTTGCTCCAGTACTGGCTTATTGTAAAGTCTTGTGACCTTAGAAAGGGCACAGGTTAACCACTTCTAACTTTAAAAAGAAGATAGACAATGCTATGTAAAATGTATTGTCCAAAACTTGCGGTTATCTAGAGTTGTCAATGAAGTTCCCACAATGAAGTTTTTGTCTGATGCTTCATGTTCTAATAGAAATCGATGGAAGTGAAGGGAAATTGAGACATGGGAATTTAAATTTCCCACTTGCCCATTTACTGGAGCTTAGGTTGCAAAGAATTTTGGCATGCTTCAGTCTTGCAGCAGTTTTAAGTACAGTATGCAGCCCAATTTCTCCTAACTTCTTTACTCCCAAATTTTGGTTTTGAGTTCTTTCATCTGATTGGGAATTTCATCTGATGTGGCTCTTGGTCCATTTTGTTTCTTGCATCTCCATCACAGCTTGCGTGAATTTGCAACCCCCTTCTTTGGATCTGTCCGCAGGTCCATTAGTATGGAGCATGGCTTTCACATGGAGTGTGTGTGTGTGTGTGTGTGTGTGTGTGTGTGTGTGTGTCTAACAGAGTTTCCCTAGAGGAAGTTGAGTTCAGAACAGAAAACAAGGGGGGGGCTGTATCTTTCAGATTAATTTCTAGTAATGGAGTTTCGTTTGTCCACTTCTTCAGGTTCTTCTGGTCAACCTGTCCTTGGTGGCAGGCAAAAGGCTGTGCTGCATGCATGAGAAATCCTGAATGCGCATGAGCATGCATGCATGTCAAAGGAAGCATTTTTATTTATCTGGTATTGTCCAGTTCTGACTGATGCTCTGCACCGCTGCTAGATTTTAGATTGTGTTCTTAACTGGGGGCGAAAACATGGAGATACTAATGCATAAGGAAACCTTGATTTGAGTTGTGTCAGCATATGAAAGCTTGCATGGTTTTCTGTCTCTGTGTGTGATGAATGGCTTTCCCTTTTTGTGCATCCCCCTGTCACTCCGTCTGCCTATCCTTGGGGAAATTCACCTGCGCTCAGCACAAACTGGAAATGGTAGAAGCCCAAGGAGGGACTTTATGTATTTACGCAGGAGCACGCAGAAATGCTGAAGGTAGAGGAAAAGCAGTGGGGGAATGGCTCAGTTGCAGGCCATTAACCTTCTTGGGATTCCCCCTCCCCCTCCCCCTTCTTTTCTGGCTTCCTTCCTTGCAGCAACCACTTGAAAGGAAAGACAGCCAAAACAGCTCTCAGCACAGCGTCTCCAGCCACCACAGCACCCACACCGCTTCACCTGTCCGCAGCACCCAGGTGCTTCCCGACTACCCTGCCACCGAAGCACCAGCTGCGGAGCAACCAGACAACGCTGGGCAGAAGAAGCCAGATCCATTCAAAATCTGGGCCCAGTCCAGGAGCATGTATGAAAGCCGACGTGAGTATCAAAGGAGACTTCATTATTTTGGCAGCTGCTCTAGATCATTGCATTCTGTAACTCTTGGTTTAAGGGGAGTTCCCACTCCCCACCCCTAGAATTGGGGGCAGGGGGGAATAGATATGTCTATTCATTTCTGGATAGGATGAAAATGAGCAAAGCTGAGCATTGCTGAAGATGGGCATGGGGTGGGTGAATACAGTGCCAAGGAGCCAGAGAGACCAGCAGTTTGCATGTGGTTGACATTAATCATTTTTTTGATGGTGGTGAAGGAGCTTTGGCTTCTGTCAGCCTGGATGGCTCAGTTGGTTAGAGCATGGTGCTGATAATTCCTCGGTTGTAGGTTCGATCCCCATGTGGGACAGCTGCATATTCCTGCATTGCAGGGGGTTGGACTAGATGATTCTCCATCCAGCGCTACAATCCTATGATTCTATTAACTTTGCGGCGCAATATGCCAGTATTGATATCTTTTCTTGTTCTTCAGCATTTACTTCTTTAAAAGAAATCAATTTCTGAACGGGGAAATGTCAGACAAGCATAATATAAGAGATCGCACAAATTGCTTTCCAAGCTTTGTGCTGCAGACACTTGTGGACCCAATCCTTCTAAGCTCTTAATTCATGAAGTAGTTGAAATATAGCCTCACAGTATTGTAGTATGGCTTGGCAACTTGTAGGAATGTCATGCCCTTTCAATGCCTATTCAGTTATTCCTTCATTCAGAGAGTGGGAGAGAGAGTCAGTGCTTTTTTCTTAAAAAAAATTTTAGGGGTACTCTCATTATCCTACTCATATTGAAATACTGCCCCTCAGCGAGGCCTAAGTTAGATTCACAAAATGTTTAGGGGTATGCATACCCCTGTGTCCCCCCCCCCTCCTGAATAAAAGCACTGTATTAAGTCCTTTAAAAAGTTTTCAGTCTCGCTGTTTGCAGGTATAAAGGTTAAGGCCAAAGGAATAATTTTGCTAAATTAATGACAGCACTGCCTAGCTGACCCACATGCTGCCAAGCCATGCTCGCCTTTATCGTTGTGCGCTATTTCAACAATGCAGAGGTCGAATAGATACAGTAAACAACTTTTATTGTTGGTTATTAATAGATGCACCACACTAATAATTCAGCAGGGTTTTGATTTGCTTCCGAGAATACAAAATGGGTTTCAATCAACCCCCTTTTCTTCAAAGAAAATCAACCTCCTTTTCCTCTTCAGTTGCAATCTGTAGAGCATTAGTTACACTAGTAGAGTTATGTGGCATCCCGTAGAGTGAAGCAGCTCTCAAGCAACCTCCCATCACAAAACGCTGCTCACCTTGTAGACTTGGGGTTTCTGCATAGTTTGGAGTCATCTGAGTGGCTGAGCAGCTGAATCGGTTACATAAAATGTCATTAAAAAAAAGAAAAGGGAAGAACTTGGAAGCAGAGGCTTTGGGAAAATACTGGAAAACGTATTTTAGCAGCATGATCTCTTGTGTTTCTTCTGTTTTCCTTCACAACATTCATTTCTTTTCTTATTTTTCTGGGCATGGCATGGATACACAACCCATCCTCACACGATCTTCTGCTCTCAGGAATTGTTTTCACAGAATCTCGTGCCCCCATTTTGTTCGTGAGACTACTTTTGATCTACCAGGGGCATTTGTAAGACAAGAGGCCCCCCCCCATTCCTCCTTCAGTCCTCCCTGCCACCTTCCAGTCCATCAGCCCTATGAAATGGATATTCAGGTGGGGTGGGGGGGGGTGGGCTGCAGGGAGCTGCATTGAAAGAGAGAGTTGGCAAAGAAAGAAAGAAAATCTCATCTCTTCTCATGCATTAGTGGATGCCTCTGTTGCATCAGAAGCCATTCTTCAGAATGGTAGCATTGGATTTCACCCCATGAAAATTATTGCAGTGACTGGCCTCTGTGGCCCACAATAATAGCATTTTAAAATTCTTAGAAACAGGATGCCTGCTACTTTCTAATGCAGTAGAAGCCATTCCAAGGAAGGGAGCTCTAATGTTAGTTTTGAACTTTGCCACTGAGGATTCGCCTTGTCAAAGACGAGCATCCTTACCTAGGAGCAGGGTGGCATCTGTTCTGTTTATTCACAAGTAGGCTATTGCTTCATCTTATCGGTTGTGTCTTGAGTGCCCTTCTCATGCTTTACTAGTGCAACACCTTTTTTGTGCGGTGAGAAGGATTAGGACAAAAGCAAAACTAATTCTTGGGCTCTGTGAAAGGCAGAATTGAGTTGGGGTATGTGGAAGAGGTCTGGGCGAAGGGCTTCCTTATCTGCCTGAAAAAAACAGGTCTCCTAACACCACAGTGCCTCCAACTCAGCTACGCTCTGAGCTGATGTAATGGCCGCTAGAAATGCCACTTTGAAAGTTAGCCACAGGGCGATGGAGGCTAGTGGTCCAAGAGGCACTTTGATCAGGCTGATCAGTACCTTATGTAAGTTCCATGAGGGACATCTGTGTACTGGATAAGGCACCAGCAAGGACGCCTCTCTCAAAAAATGTGGTATGTGCAGACGACAGGGAAGCCTGGCCTAGTTTGGATAGCATAGAGGAAAGGGCATTTTAAGGTCATCAAGTCTTGTTCAGGTACAGTCCAGAGGAATATTAATAGCCGAGAGACTCCCACTGTGGACCAGTCTATGTATTTTCGCTCACACCACTGCACAAATGCTTTGCAAGTGGCTGGGGTTTGGGGCAGGGCGGTTCTTGAAAATGGTGGAGTTCCTCCCATTAACGTTAGAAGTTATTTCCACTTTGGGGCTGAAGAAGGTGGAGGAGACTCCTCCAGGGCCACCTTTAAAAAGAAAGGGGTTCTTGCTCTCACGGTAGCTTCTTCTAAAGTGATTCCCTTGCCCGAGCCTTTTAAGAGACCGACTTTGGCAGAGTGGGACATAACCGTTAACCAAGTAAAAAGTCCTCAGCAGCCCCACATTTCAAACTGCAGGCCTGCATGGATAGATGAGCTCACTAAAACCTTGGAGATAGATCATCATGTCATTTCGATGCATTCAGATGCAAGCCAAAACAACCCAGTTAAAAGAAGGGAGAGCTTGCTCTCCAGCGCCTTTGTGGTTCTACCAATTTAATTTGCAGATCAATGGCTTCCTTTTCCTGGGGGGCCAGGGCCTCTCTAATGCGGCCCCCCCCCCAGCCTATGGCAGACTTAAGGTTTGGATGCCGATAAGTTTAGGGATTTACTTAGGAAATGAATGAGGGTCTAGGAAGTGGGGTTTTTCCCCCTGATACCACTTTAGATGCTTCAGTCTTTACTGCCAAAAATATGTAGTGGCCAGACAGTATCTCTGGTTGACATATTGGACTGTAGATAACAATTTCAGGATGCATATTATGAAAATTGTGCATTGGCTGCCTACTGTTTAGCAGCAGGGAAATGCAAAACTGTGAAATATCTGGACACATGCAAGCCCTACAAGATAATACGGGAGGGAATAAACTGCCCTTTTGCCATTTTTGGTGGCGGCATCACTTGTGAAGGTTTTTGTGCTCTTGTCCTACTACTTCCACTGCTCTGGATTTCCCCCTTCCCCAGCTGGATGCTCACATTGTCATTGTCTGTGACCCCCTGCAGCTATTCAGTACCAACTAAACAGTTAATTAGAAATTATCTAATTAGTCATTAGGATTAGCTCAGCAGTATTAACTGCTGCCTGTTCTGCCTTTTTTAAAAAAATTAACTTGGGAATGTGCTACAGGACATAACTGCTTCCTAGCCAGTCCACCAACATGGCAAGTTTTCTGCATTTCAGTAGCAAATTATTTTATTTTATATGTGCAAATAGTTTGGAAGCTTTAAGTGACTACTTATTTCTGAAGTTTTGCATGCATCCCATACCCTTTTTCTGTTGGCTTCTCACTGTACCACTTGACACCTTGCACTTCACTGTCCTTCGCTAGCTTACTGTGTTTGGTTGGGGACCAGCTCCTTTCTAGTCTACTGCAGTTGCAAACCACACAACTTTGTATCTTACAGATAATTTGCTTAGAAATGGAGAGGTGTAGAGGTATGATTCTCACTGAAGGTGCAAGAAGAGCCCAGGTTGAAATCAAAGATGGGACTTCTGGCTGGCCACTATAGGAAACTGATTGCTGGATGTACTAGGGCCCTTCTGAACAACCAGGTCATTCCATGGGTTTATAGATTAACTTAAGAGGAGTACCTAAAATATGAAGACCCAGGGAAAGATTATTCTTCAGAAAATTGTCTTGGAACTTTCTGAATAGGCAGTCGATCAAGCACTCCCAGCTAGCTCCACCAAGCTAGGACCTAGAGTTCCTGATAAAATTTGGATTCAGCCCTTAATTCACCATTGTCTTAAAGAGCTTGATCCCAAACACATAATTTACTAAAAATGAGTTGATTAAACAAAAATCAACACCATGTACTATTAAATCACCAGTGCCATAGGTTAAATAAACACCAGTTCAGTAATTCCAAATTTTCAGGCAAACTTCAGAGGGTATGGTAACCTTGACATGCACGTTTTACTATTAATTGAAGCACTGCGTGTCTAAGATGATTTCCCCCAGTTGATAATTATTTGTCGGTGGTGATTAATTTTGATTTGGACAACAATCCAGAAGAGTTTTCCTGTCATCAGCTGCCTCCATGCAGTCTCCCAACTATCTTTCAAACACTGTCACATTTAAGAGACTGCAGACGTTCACTGAACTGCAAGGGTCATTTCTCTAGAGCTGAGCACAAATGACCTCTTGACATTAATAGTGGCCATTTTACCAAATTTCTCAGTGGGGTAGAAATTCTCCAATAGTCTTTTGGGCTGGGGCTCGCCATTTGCCGTTAGAATCATAGAGTTGGAATAGACCACAAGGGCCATCGAGTCCAACCCCCTGCCAAGCAGGAAACACCATCAGAGCACTCCTGACATATGGTTGTCAAGCCTCTGCTTAAAGACCTCCAAAGAAGGAGACTCCACCACACTCCTTGGCAGCAAATTCCACTGTCAAACAGCTCTTACTGTCAGGAAGTTCTTCCTAATGTTTAGGTGGAATCTTCTTTCTTGTAGTTTCGATCCATTGCTCCGTGTCCGCTTCTCTGGAGCAGCAGAAAACAACCTTTCTCCCTCCTCTATATGACATCCTTTTATATATTTGAACATGGCTATCATATCACCCCTTAACCTCCTCTTCTCCAGGCTAAACATGCCCAGCTCCCTTAGCCGTTGCGGTAGCACAGCTTCCCTGTCTTTCGGTCTCTCCACCTCTTTTTCCTTCTTTCTTTGCTGCTGCACGTTGGACCATTTGGAACATCCTCCATGATATTCCAGGTCAAATCTCATTCCAAGTTACTGTGTTTGTGTGGCAGGGAAGGGTTGTTAAATGGTCCCTGCCATAAAAAAAAAAATTGCTGGAGAAAATTCTGCAAAGTGGCCTTCTTTTGCAAAGGGGGTGATAAAAAGAAAAACTCAGTGCTCATTTCCCACCTGGCTTTCCTTTAAGCAATTCTCAGACTTTTGAGTTAAAGGCATTCTGAGCACAACCTGACTTCAGCTAATGATAGGGAAATTCTTAACAAGCTGAAATCATGTGTGGGTGTCTTGCTCCTGCCCCACTGTTGCCTTGGTCATTAAGCCAGCATTCAGTTGAAGCATTTCTTGTTAAAAGACGGGCTTCTTGGTTGTGAGTTACACCTATCCATGCAGGAGATCTGCATTGGTATTTGATGTTTGAAATCTACCAAGGCATTGGGAGATAAATCATATTAAGGATGCTGTCTTCTCTACAAAGGCAAATGAGCCTGTCCTCGAAGGGTGAGGAGCAATGTGCCTCTGCCTCCATCCTGGCAGTCTTCCCAGAAGTGACTTTCACTCACAGTCCTTTCCTTATTTAAGACGGAGATACTGGCAATAACATAATCCTGCGGAATAAAAATAGTGGCTCCCTCTTTCTTAAAGCGCCAGGCAGGTTGCAGAAGAACTCCTGCGCAAGACCAAGCCAAGCTGCTTCTGATGGACATGAGCTGCTCCCACAGAAGCAGCTGGCGGTGCAGGATTCAGCCCCAGGAGAGACCCTGTTCAACAGCACAGCTCTAAAGTGGGCTGAGTTGTTTGTTTGTTGTTTAAGGAGTTTGGATCATGTGGTTTTCCACATGCCCACTTTAGGTTCAACTGTCTTCTCCTCACCCACCCTTCTCCAAAAAAACTCTTAGTGCCGTTACTGTCTTGCTGGTGTGAAATAGACAACCTGGGACATTATTCATGACTGCAGGGATTAAGATGCTACTTGGTTCTTTAACTGTAAAAGGAGGGTAGATTCTAGGTGGGATCAACATACATCTGAGATTGGAAGAGTTATCAGAGAAGCTGGCAGTTTTAGTGGAACCTGTCTAGTAAATATTTGCACCTAAACAAAGCCAGACACTGAGACCTAGGAGGGAATTAGGCATTGGTCCTTAGGATGCTCCAGGGCCTTGGAGGTTCCAGGAGTTACTGGTGTGGAATAATCCAAGGACAGCAGGAGCACAATTTCCTCTATTTCCAATGCCCAGGCTAGGAGCACAGCTGCTTCTGCAGCCAACCTGGAACCAGGCACACTCAGGCGAGTAGGCTTTGGGGGAAACTCCCAAAGTCTGCAAGAGCAAAATAAAAGAATAAATAAATTAAAATGGCCAAAGGAGTGGACGGAATCCTGAACAATGAGCACGTTTTGTTGCAGGCCCCACTGGTTAATTCATATTTTTGAGAGCTTCTCCAGTGCATGAGCCATGAAGCCTCATCTCTTTGCTGTTTCCTCAGTTGAACACACAGGACTATATCTTACTTCATGTCCTACACATGAAGTTGGTTTATTTGGCCTGTATTCAATTAACCTGGTAAGCTAGCAAAAGGCAATTCAGGGGCTCCCACTAGTGCCATGGGTCTCCCCCCCCCCACATACACACCTTTCTCCACGCACACACTTTATGCATCTCCCCCAAAGTCACTCAGCAGAGTCAGGAGAAACCCCAGAGCAGCTCAAGGGAGGCAGGGAAGAGAGGGGAAAAGATTGCTCAGAAGAGCGTCATGCTGAATTCCTCCCTTGTGGGGGAATCCTTTAATGGCGGAGACAGAAAGAACTACCTTGCTTTAGACTTGTCTCAGAGACCACGGTCATCTCTGAGTCTTGCAGTACCAAGATCTAAATCACAGTTTAGTCACACAGTCCGTCATCTTCAGTCAGTCACAATTTTCCCTCAGTGGAATGGGAATAATTATTACTACTTAGTCTGGATGTGTGCCAGTCCTATTGGAATGTTGTAAAACTATACTAAAGCCCATGCCTTAAAAAAAACAAAGAACCTTTTTCTTCCATGAACCTTGTCCACTAAGATGGCAGCTTCTAAGAAATGGTGGGCTTGTGATGATAAGCTGCTGTTTGCCTTCTTCCCCTTAAAGTTCATGCCACCTATTCTTTTGCATACCTTCGTACTACTTTAAAAATGCTATTTCTGTAAGTGATAATGAGTGACATAATTCTTGGCTTGATCATTTCCAAGAAGTATCCTTTACCTATTCAGAGATTAAGAGTTCTCAAGAGAATAAGGCAAATTTAGGGTCATGAATTTTAAAAGTGGACCTATATCTGGGGGGGGGGGGAGAGAATATTCTCCTCTCTCATTTATTGTTTTAGTCTTAAACTTCCTTGAGGATTGCAACAATCTGTTGTTGTGCTGCCTGCATGCTTTGCAGAGCTGCTGTATCCTACGCATGGCCATCTGTCAAAACAGCAGTGACAAAATGAATTAATCTGAATTGCAGATGTGTTAATGAGCCCCTTTGAAGGGCTTAAGCGTGTTTTAATTAAAAGCAAAGCAGAACAGGGTCGAGGCTTTCTAAAGCTTTTAAAATATTGCAGGTTTTTAAAAAAAATATTTGGATTTTATTTTCAGTCACACAATAGATAAAAAGCAGCACATGAAGCTATTCCTTCATCCACAATTAAATAGACTTGGGAAAAATGTGAGCACCATGTAACTAAGGAAATGCTGATGAGGCAGCCTTTAAAAAATGGAGTAATTGTGTAACGGGGGGGGGGGTGTTTACCCATTTTATGGCTAGGAAACAAAGCACCTACATTTAAACACCCGCAATCTTTGTTAGTTTTGGCCATTTTACCAAAAACAGGCCTCTGTTGATGACCAAGAAGCTGAGTTGTTGCAGAGCTTGCTCATTTATTTTTTTGCTAGTTGATTTCTAAACTTTGGATCATGGTTGTGTTGTCTAGAGGTCTTTGGGCCTTTTCTGTTCCTTATTTCTATATGATTCCCAGGCATAAGCTTAACATAGGTTCAAGTGTAAAGACTTCAAAATTGCTCTTTGTGACTGGCGGGCCAAAATATATGTATTCTAGCTATTGAGGTACAGTAAGAGCTTTGAGGTACTGATAAACATTGTTTTGTTTTGGGTACACTAGGGTGGCCTAAAGGGTGAGAGCTCAAGTATCTCTCCCTCAAATAACAAACTTGGGTTGTGAGTGCTGATGTCATGATTTGAAGCCAAAACCCAGAAATATATTGGAATATTTGGGGGAACCCCAGTGATGGCAGAAGTACAAGCAGCCTGTTCGTTCATTCATTCATTGGGGTGGGGAGCACAACCTAAGGTAGGAACTCTTAAGAGCTCTGTGCATGACAGCTAAGGAATGTTGACTGCCATTTGGAAAGGGAAATAGTGGAGTGTCGTGGAGGAAGGCATGGCTGACCGACAAGAACCCTGAATAGGGGTGGTCCTGATAGAACATGAGTATTGGATGTTGTGTTGCAGGTCACACTTGTGTATTTTGATCCTGATAACGGGAAGCCACATTATGTGACTATCCAGTATGTGCGCCAATAACAAAACCTTCATGCTATAAGGAATTGTTGGTTAACTTTTAATACATGCATTGTCTTAGACTTGCATGAACACATGTGCATTATGAAATAATAGTAGAATGTGATTTTCAACTACCGCATGTATTTGGTTTAAGCAGATGCTCTAGGGACACAAGGCAAGACTTTACTCAACCTCCTGCTGCTACTGGTTAGCTTTAGTTTTAAAAGTAGCACTATAAAGCAGCAACTTAATGAAAAGTTTTCAGCATAATTTTCTTGTATGTATAGGTTTTGTTTCCTAATCCACAAGATAAGTCTGTTGTCAAATGTCTATGCACTTAAAAAAAAAAAGGCAAATATTTCCTAGTTTTTCTGAAACCCAGTTTGAATGTACTTACAATGATGCATATTCAACCATTTCCCACATTAGATAAGGCCAGTATTGTATACACCTGGCAAGACAGGTAGGTCTGTTCTAATCCTTAGCAGCTGCAATCTTTTCTGTAATAGTAAGGGCATGAAAGCTGAATCAGAGCTGTTAACAGTCAACGCTAAACTGAAATGAACAAACAAGAAAGCAAAATCCCATTAAGCTTTGCAAAATGTTAAAATTAATATTCACAGCTATGTCACCTTCGCCTGCGACTGGACTGAGCAAGGGTGAAAGAGAGAGAGAAATCAATTCCACGAATTTTGGAGAATGTAAGAATGAGCCGAGAGCTTTATATCTGTCTTGTTGTCCATCTTGTGGTAGTGTCTGTGATTGGGGGGCAATTCATACGGGTCAGGTGGGGTTGGAGGGTGAAGCATGATGGGCACTGACGGTTTCATATGCCTTCTTCAAATGTTCCATTGCCAAAGAGCAAGAAGGGAAGAATCTTGTTGTGTTGTGTAAGCTTTACCTGAATAGCAATTGGATAGGGGAGGGTTACCTGTATCCATCTGGGATCATTCTTTCTCATCAGCTGTTCAAAACTCTTTCTATTACTTTTGCAATGAAGCCCTTGAGAGAATGGCAGTAATGAGCCAACACGGATTGCCCTCAAGCCACCACTGGTTTTAGAAATGCTGCTTATGTCACGGGGTGTGATGGGGTTAGAATTAAGAAGTAGTTGTGCTAAAATGCACAGCAAAGCCCCTTCCACTAAAAAGTTTTTTTGTGAGGGTCTGCAGTCAAAATTTTAATTAAGTTAGATTTGAATTAAGTATTTTATGAGTATTCGCAGCAGCATCTGAGTGTGCTAATCAGTCTACAAACACTGATTTACAATTTGATGAAACAAATAAATTAAAATAAACCCTGCAGTGGTGGAAAAGAAAACATACTGTGGTAAATAGGCAAGGGACGCGGGTGGCACTGTGCGTTAAACCACAGAGCCTAGGACTTGCTGATCAGAAGGTCGGTGGTTCGAATCCCCATGACGGGGTGAGCTCCCGTTGCTCGGTCCCTGCTCCTGTCAACCTAGCAGTTCGAAAGCATGTCAAAGTACAAGTAGATAAATAGGTACCACTCCGGCGGGAAGGTAAACGGCGTTTCCATGTGCTGCTCTGGTTCGCCAGAAGCAGCTTAGTCATGCTGGCCACATGACCCAGAAGCTGCACACCGGCTTCCTCAGCCAATAAAGCGAGATGAGCGCCGAAACCCCAGAGTCGGCCATGACTGGACCTAATGGTCAGGGGTCCCTTTACCTTTACCTTTACTGTGTTCGGGCTTTACAGATGTCTTCCGATTTATGTGGCTAGTTTTTGCCGCTGCCACATGTTGCATACTAGGCTCTATATTCACATATAGGAAAAATGCCAGTCACGTGTTTGTAAAATACATAGCAAGAGCAAGTCTTGTGCAACAACATCCAGTGGCTGATCTTCAGTAATCCTATGAGTTCAGGATCACCCAGTTTGCCCAATCCAAAACACGCAGAAACAATATGTGCCGGTCAGAACTGGGAATGAGCTTTGGTTGGCTGGCAGCCTGATCAACTCCTAATGTCAGCCATTAAATTGGGCCAATCAGTGCAAAAGTCTTCAAAAAGAATTTTGTCCCACTCTTGTTTGTGTTGTGCCGTATGTTGTGCATGTGTGTGTTTGTGTTTGAGAGTGCTGTTGTCCTCTTAACATAGCATTTTGTCCAGAATGCAGTTTTGGATTATATCAACCTTAATGAAAGAAAGGGGGTATTAGAAGCTTCCTTGCCTTGTTCCCTTGTACTGTATTGATTTAAAGCCCTGGCTGAAAAGTATAGCTTCGGGGTCACACATGCTGGCTTTTCGATTGGATTGGATTGTTTCAAACCAAATTTATCATTAAGTGTTCTAGCCATAGGGTACAACAATTAAAATTCACAACAGCAGGGGGATAAACAATAATTGTGTAGGCAAAGCCGTAAAAGAAAGATTCCATGAAATACACAAGGATCGATGGACGAATCTTTAAGTGGAGTGAGTGACTAAGCATACAAATCCTGAACAGTATGCTGCAGAACGAACACCCTTCTTAACCTTGAAAATGTCAACTCCCTTACATAAAATCACATCCGTATGAACAAAAGTCCGTGTAAACTGTCACTATAGTCATCATGAGACAAGCCTCCCTGTTTACCAGACTGCTACCTTTACAATTTAAGAATAGCTCTCTGATGAGCTGGAGCCCCAAACAGAGGAGCATTGTTCAAGATGAGATCTAATTCATCCTCTCCAGCTTGAACCTTACAAAGATCGTGATGATAATATGGTATCTATGTCGTTCAAGAGAACAGAGCCTGAAACAATAGATTTGTATCTGAACAAGAAACAGAAGGCAACGCTTTGGCTGCGGATGGGAAGCACTGTAGAGTTGACAAATGGAAAGGTGTGAGGAGATGCTGAGACAAAAAGTGTTCCGCGCTGGAGTGCCCAGCAGAAGCTCTCTTGCCTCTATCAGACAAGCTGTGTATTCTCAACTGGTTTGGCCCGGGCTCCGACGTGAGTCACTGGACAGAACCTTTGCCATCTATCTCTGGTTTCTTTTGCTTTGGTTGTCTGAAGCCAATGATAAATACCAATTAACTTAGGATGCGGTCCACCTCATGTCAGAGGTTAGTGTCAGAGTTTGCCAATTTTAATGCAATTGAGCTTGCATTCTTTTCACTGCGCTGCCGCAAGAAGGCAAGAGTCACCGTTTCCAGCAAACCAGCCTTCAAGCAACTAAGGCTTAACGGAGTCCAATTATGGTCTTCCACGATATTTATCACCTTATTATTCTGTAATTGTATTTAGAAGATTGTTAAGCCATGGCTCAGTGCACTAATACATGGGAGTTTTAAAAATATCTTCGCTTAATAAACACTGATCAATTAAGATGAGGGTGCATACAAAATGTGCACACAGATCAATGGCTGTAAAACATGGCAGAAACTAGCAGATGTCTGCCTCGTTTCATTTCTATCCTTTTTGTTTATGCATTTGTTTGGTGTTCCGACTTGAATAAACCCTCTGCCGTGAGCCATTGAAAAAGGATAGCAGCTCCGAAATCTCAGCCAGACCCCTTTTAGGGAGGTTAAACTGTGAGTTCAGTTCTGACAGCATAGCACCTGCTTGGTGTGATATGGAACCCAACAATACATGGAACCCACAGTACTTGTATTTAAGCTGATTTAAATTCATTAGCTTCCCCCCAACATCCCAGTAACTTGACTTTCTAAGTGAAAATGTCGAGAAGCTCCTTGGTGCTTCCATGAGCCAGGTGTGTTCAGTCGATGGCAGCTTTCATCCACAGAGCTGATAGGAATTATAATGGTATGATTGTGGATCCAACAATAAGCAAAACCTGCTTGATGTCATGAATGTGGCAGAGCACGGAATTGGAAATACAATCCCATCTAGAACAGGTTGATCTCCATCTCCTTGAGATTGAGTTTCAGTTTATTGGCCCTCATCCAGACAATTACTGATTCTGGGCACTGGCTCAGCACTTCAGTGGCCTCTGCTAAATCCAATGAAAAGGAGAGAGAGATGGAGAGAGAGAGGTGAACATTTTAAACATCACACTGGCTCCTTTTTCCAAATCCCCAAATCTACCAGCAGTTTCATGTAGGGACAAGATGGAACACTGCATTTGAGCCCTGTCTCTCTGGTTGGTGTTTCATTTAGGATCATTTCAGTTTCTGAATGAGTCTTTGATCATGGAGAAACAAAAGAGACACCTGGAAATTCATAATTGACACAGATTCTACTGATACGATGCTGGGAACATAGATGCAGCTATTTGATGTTATTATTATTAACCAGGCCACCTCTCACCATAATCCTGTGCAGATTTGATTATGAAAGCTTCAAATTTAGTTTCACAATTGGTGCGACTCAGTGCTGGCTCATTCTGCCAGTGGACCATAATACAAATTGATGAGTCAATCATGTTTTAATTGTCTTTTGCCTAAGTATTATTTTAAGTGGAGTCTTAAAGTGGAGCCTGAAGTCTTTCACTTCCTCTGATTCATCATTTCACAGATTTGGGATAGGAGTGAGTACCATTGTTAACCTTTTTGTCCTTGATCTAGGAAGATTCTTTGTCACAGTCTCATAGCACATGCTCTAGATCAGTGATGGCCAAACTTGGCCCTCCAGCTGTTCTGGGACTACAATTCCCATCATCCCTGACCACTGGCCCTGTTAGCTAGGGATGATGGGAGTTGTAGTCCCAAAGCAGCTGGAAGGCCAAGTTTGGCCATCATCGGACTAGATGGACTTCTACATTTTGGACTCCTTTATCTGGGCTTTCTCTGATTGGACAGCCTTCAGGGTTGAATGCTGTCTTTGATAGGAAGCTTCTCCTTCAGCTCCACTAAGCAGAGCAGTTGCTTTATTCACATTATTTTACTATAATCACACATATTTAACACATGTTTCTGGCTTTCAAAAATTATGTTGAATGTATTTTGGGGTCTTGAAAAAATAATTAAAAGAATGTGTTTATGTTTGTGTTTTAATGGAAATTGGATATCTGGTCTTTTGAAGAGTTGTTTCTTTACCTTTAAGTATACATCATGGAAAAGTTTTACACATAGACATACCAAAATTAATCAAAGTGCTACAGTCCCCTACAACCCAATAAATAGTAAATGTATTTGAAGTTGTCCCCTGGTGTTAGTTCATAGGCAAAATTAATTTTGCATTTTAAAATAATTAATAACCCAGTTCAAATATGCATCACCTTTGTTAATTGCATTTGACGCTTAGGGCTTTGGTGTATTTTACATTTAATTGTTGACACCTTCTGGAAAGTTGGTGCAACCGGCTTTTACAGTAGCTTATCTCTATATTTCAGTGGTTAATGTGGTACATTGAATGGGATGTTTGGCCCGTAAAATAAATCCCTTACCCTAGAAAACTGTGGCCAATAATTAGCAAATATTGCATGCTGTTGTGAAAATAATCATAAAGCACCACCATATACCAAAAAATTCTTCTATAAATATCTCCTTTCATCCATAATTAGATAAAAATCGAAGCACACCATGTTAGGAAGAAAAGTTTAATGCAATGCAGTGTGTGTGTGGCAGCTCAGGACAAAATAAATGGGGAGAGCACTGTTGCACTCAGGTCCCACTTAAAGGTTTCCCTGTGGGTATCTGGAGTAAGAACAGGATGCTGGGCTCAGTGGGCCTTTGACCTGATCCAGCATGGCTCTTTTTACCTTCTTATCATTTAACCAAATCTGATATGTGGCATCATGATGCCCTCACTTTTATCACCTGATCCCTGATTGGCCGGATCGCTTGATAAAGGCAAAAGCTGGGTGAGTAGAAATGGTTCCAAAGCGGTAGCTGAGAAGGGAAACCACAGAACCGCACTCGCACAGTCACCTAAAAGTGCCCGGAGATTTTATGAGGGAACAGTTCAGTGGCCCGGGGGGGGGGGCAGGATGATCATATTTCACCTGGAGTATGTTTGCCAGTAACTATTTGGTGTAGGACAGTGATGGCCAAACTTAGCCCTCCAGCTGCTTTGGGACTACAATTCCCATCATCCCTGACCACTGGTCCTGTTAGCTAGGGATAATGGGAATTGTAGTCCCAAAGCAGCTGGAGGGCCAAGTTTGGCCATCACTGGTGTAGGACTACTGCTACAACTTTTTGACATTACTATGATGGCCGGGACATGCTCTTTTGAGGTCACATAATGAAGCCACCTTGCTGAATGTAAGCAGGTCTGGTTATGGTCATTGGGCAGATATGAACTTTACGCAAGTAATGTTTAAAACAAATGCAGGTGTATAGAAGAGAGAAGCTCCTAATAATTTCACCGGGACTTACGCAAGAGAGGTTTTGCAAGGGTTGTGCCCAGTTGTTCCAGCTATTTATAGCATTATTCAATAGCAGTAATGCTGACAATAAGAAATAATGTCGCGCAGATGTCAATTATTACAACAGCCGTTGCAGCGCAGAGCTCTTGATTTGTTCTCCTCTCTCCGGCCTTATGAAAAGAAAATCAACTGTTTTATGTTACTAATGGAGTTACACTCTTTTATAGACCCTCATTTGTATAATGACAAAAGTCTATTTGCTCGTGATTTCCAAAAAGGACCCTGGATTTATTACTAACAACCGATGAGTTCTAATACTGCAGTGCTAGGCAAACGTCTGATTTGCATCCAGTTGCAAACCTAAAACGAAAACTATGCCTAATAACATGATTGTTCTGAAACTGTTTAGCATAATCACAAAATCCTGAAAGGTGTTTCAGTATTTCTTGGTGGCGGGCCTCATTAAAGTCTGTAAGCAAAAGAAGGAAATATCCAGTAAAGCAGCAAGAAAATATTGAGGAACAGCATTCCCGGTTTAACACTAAAAGATGACTTCAAAACTATGGATCTGAGAGATTAACAGACCTTACTTTCCTTGCCCAGGATTCTAATTTCCCAGTGGATCCTCTAACCTCCTCTTCATATTTGCACTTCTCTTTTGCAGAGAAAATAGTAGGTGGCATTTGGTTCCCACTCCTCTCAGTCTTTCTTTTAAATATACTACTAGGAAGTTACAAACCTGGTGCCTTCAGGTTTGTGAGAATATTATATCGGAAGGGTATTATAGCAACTATTCCACCAACCCAGAATCTCAGGTTGGTGCTGTTCTCAAGCAGAAAAGAGGAGCGGAGCAATGGCACAAAGCTAATGCCTCAAAAACAAGATCATTGCTTTGATTTGTCAGCTGCAAGGGCCGAGAGACAGCATGGTTACTGGAATCCCCTTCATCTGGTGTGAACAGTATTCAGGAATCCAGGAATTCAGCAAGGGGCAGGATATGTAATGGACATGTACAGACAAATGCAATATTCTTTTGACATGTCTTTCTCTGGTACCTTAAGCCAGGAGGGGCCAGGGGGATTGTGTGGTGGGGTATAAATAAATAAAAAGTACATACATAAAGGTTTTATTTCCCGTGCAACCCTGTGGAGCTTGGTATGATGCAGAGTTCCTCCCAAGATCAAAGGCAAGTTGTTGGGTCTTTCCTTTCAAAGCTGTCCCCCATCTGTCCAGGGAAATCCCCAGAGGCCGAACCATTTTATAATAGGACATCATAGATAGCTACACATGCATTTTGAGAATTATGTAATGTGGTGCCATTCAGCGTAAGTAAAATGGTCTGCTTAGAAGGGGATTTCATTGTGTATATGTGCTTTTTCCCCCAAGTCAGCTCTGTGGTAAAGCATTAATTCTTCCTATTTTCTTGCAGTTCCAGATTATCAAGAGCAGGATATTTTTCTATGGAGGAAAGAGACTGGATTTGGATTTAGGATTCTGGGTGGAAATGAGCCTGGAGAACCTGTAAGTATTTTGACATTTTTAGGCTTGTTTTACCTTTTTTATCTCTTTACCCCGGAATTTCCAGAGCCGCATTCGCCAGAATACGTGTCCAATAATATTTCATCTGCATCCTTTCAGCCACTTGATTTTAAAAACAAGCAAAACCAGATCAGAGTGCTGAGCTATGTTCTGAATAGCTAAGGTTATGAAGAGTGTTGATCTTTGTTCACATAGAGGTCTATTTCTGCTATCAACTGGCTTAGACCCCCGAGCTGTTTTGCAGCAGCTACTGACCAGAACGTCAACAGATGTTAGCAACTTTGGGCTGCTTTGATTTAGGTCACACTCGAGCCAAGGCTTCTGATCTTATTACCAGTCCCTTGAGCTGAATAAATACAGTCTCATTCAGCAGGACTCTCCAAGAAAATGAACGTCATGTTAAATAGAGGAGGAAAGGCACAATCATGGGTAAAGGAACGGAAGTCTAGAGATTTGCGCTAGTAATGATCTGCTGAGCCTTTCCATGAATCTCAGGATCAAAATTCTAGAATTCGTTTCCCCGGGGCAAAGTCATACAATACATATATTCTTTGAAGAAGGGTGTTCATAGGGAAATATGAAAGCGACTTGTATCAAGTTGGGCCAATGCCCCATCTAGCCTAGTTAACAGCTGCTCTGGCTGGATAATTAATTTCAGTGGTTCTACTCCGCATTGGACTTAGTTGGCTACAGCCCAAAATTTGTAGCTGTCATTACAGGTAATTTGTAAGATGCCTTGCATGCCTATGGCTCTCTTAACTGTGTTGCACCATGGGAACAGTAGTTCATGGAAGTGGAGACATTCAGAAGAGGGGGGGGGAATTCTCACTTTGTGAGAATGATACGATGATGGGCTATTTGCTGGCATGCCATGAAAACTGCCGCCTACACAGAAGCCTTCATGAGAGCCAGCATAGTGTAGTGGTTAAGAGTGGTGGACTCGTAATCTGGTGAACCAGGTTCGCTTCCCTGCTCCTCCACATGCAGCTGCTGGGTGACCTTGGGCCAGTCACACTTCTTTGAAGTCTCTCAGCCTCACTCACCTCACAGAGTGTTTGTTGTGGGGGAGGAAGGGAAAGGAGATTGTTAGCTGCTTTGAGACTCCATAAGGGGAGTGAAAGGCGGGATATCAAGTCCAAACTCTTCTTATTCTTATTCTTCTTCACATGGTCAACTGATATCATCAACTTGTGTGCATGTGTAGAGGCCTCTAGGTTCCTCTGTCATAGTACCGGGAGTGGGGGCAGTGCAGAGATATGCCCCCTGTATAAATAAAGTTAGGGCATACTTTTGCTAAGGAGATAATGACCCTGTTGGGAAGCTCAGAGAATATGTACTGCTTCCATGTTCAAAGTTTAGGAAAGTAAGGTAGTTGACCAAAGTATGGCACTGACTGACCCTTTGGGCTTTTTCTGCCATCCCTTCCACGTTGTTGCCTCACTGGTATCATCCATCTGGGTCCGGCCCTTTGGGCACATCTGACATGACCCAGATGTAGTCATGTAATAGCCTGGATTACCTTGGTCCACTTGGCTAGAAGATGTTTGGGTATAGACCAAGGGCAGGGAACCTCTACCTTGGTGGGCAAATGCAGCCCTCCTGGCCTCTCTATTTGCTGCTTGGGACTTTCCCCGGTCATACCCCAACTCCATGGACCCACAACTTCCCAGAGTATTTTCCCCAGCTGAAATGTGTCCTTAAACCTCTGGGTTGCCTGGGTGGAGAGATGTGAGCATTTGGGCATGTCTAAGCAGCCTCTGACTTATGTATGGCTGAAATGTCCCCTACGCCCCTTCTTCTGCCCCCTTTTGCACTGGTGTGCATCCCCTGGCTACAGTTGCCCACAAGGGGATGCAGTCCTTGACTCCGATATAAAGGTTCCCTGGCTGTGGACAGTCCTGATTTGGTGCTGTGGGATGAGATTTCACTTCTTCCGCAATTCTGACAGCGATTCTTCTCTCGCACCTGCACATGCTTCTCGCAGATTTACATTGGTCACATTGTGCCACTGGGTGCTGCAGATGCTGATGGCCGCCTGCGATCTGGGGACGAATTGATCTGCGTGGATGGGACCCCTGTTGTCGGGAAATCTCACCAGCTTGTAGTTCAGCTTATGCAACAGGCCGCCAAGCAAGGCCATGTCAATCTGACTGTCAGGCGCAAAGTGGTTTACACAGGTAGGTTGCAATGTGACTCGCAGGATTTTTGTTTGTTTGTTTTTACTCCTGTCTCTGGATGAAAGTGAACTACTTTCTAAAGATCAAAAGCTTCAGGTTCTAGCAAAAAATAGCAATGCACCGTTCTGTTATTTATATTTTGCTTTTTAACCTCTGGGGTGTTTTTCCTGATTTTGTTTGAGGCTTTTCGAACACGGTATAAATATAGGCTGAAATGTTTTCAAGCTGAGAAGTTGACTGCTGGTGATTAGAAGAGATATGTTGCCACTTTCCAAGGGTTTCCCCCCATTGGCTTTAGTTTAAATTTACCATTTTAAAGGATAATCTCTTATAGGATAAAAAATATTGTGAAACTGATAGGCCTGTAAAGTGGTAATCATTTTATAGTACTACCTGCAAGGGAGCACATTATTACCTAGCCATGTTATCCAAATCCTAATGTTGGATGCCGATGGTTCTGCCCTAAAAAAGGACCTTGCTGGAGCTGACTAAACTACATTTAGGCCATAATCATGTACACACTTGCCTGGATGTGTGTCCCATTGAGCTCAGTCTTATTCTGAGTAGATATGCGTGGGATTCCACTATTTATCCAGCAATCTGTATCCAGCAGATGTTTCGGAGAAGCCTCCCTAGCATGAACAGCCACCCCCTGGTTGTTGCCAACAAGTTTCCTGCATATATGACGGTGTGCTAGTGCTAACCCGGAAGAATAGGAAGTGTTCCTGGTGTCGGCATGGCATAGCTCAATATCAAACATCAGGTCAATTGGATTGCATGATCCACGCTGGGCCCCCTATTGAAGTGTCAGTATGGACTTGGAATTCCCAGTGGGTGTGGATTTGGGAGGATAATTAAGATGGGCAGTGTATAAATAATAATAATAATTATTATTATTATTATTATTATTATTATTATTATTATATCCCCAATGGCATTCTCTTAATTTTGCCTTTGGACCTATAGGAAACTATGTTTTAGCATATTCAGAGTCAGTGTTGATACATTTCCTCTGCATAAAAATAATAATGGAGGGACAGCCGTGGAAATTGTTAAGGCAGAATACAAACCCCCCTGCATGATTTTGTGCAGGAAAGATTCATTAGCAGGGACAAGCAGGCATCCAGACTCATGCCTGCATATACCAGGTATTCCCTGCAAAATCTATATGAAGGAAATTTGCCTTCTGATTTTTAACATACCTCTCACAAATTTCTGCGCAGTATGCCTCCATGGAGGAAAAAAACCTGGCATACAATTTGGCTATAGTGTGCCTTTTCTTTCTGATCTGGCCATATTTAGTACTAGTGGTGGTTGCTTTTCTGTACATAATTATTTGAAGTGACTTTACAAAATAATAATAATAATAATCAAGGTAAAATACCATAAATAAAATGCGTGAAAACGAAACAGAAACAAGAAATTGGCACGAAAAGTCGCAAGTAAAAGTGTGATAACCCAGTGTTAATCCAGCATGAAATCCACCACTAGAAAAAAAACTAAATCCCCAGTTAAATATTTTCTTTCCTGAATAAATAGGTCTTCGTGCTATCAGTGAGTGAAAGAAGTGACAGAATGTGCCCCCCCCTCTCTAGAGAAAGAGTATTTCATAAGGTGGGTCATCACTTCTGAACAGACTGTGCTCCAAGCCCCAGCTGACAGAATAGCAGAAAGAAGGGACATATTTCAAGGAAGCCTCAGATGACTTCAGGGGTTGTTGTGGAGGAAGACATGGAAGAAAACACTCCCTAAGATAGTCTTACACAGTGGTACCTCTGGTTGCGGACGGGATCCGTTCTGGAGGTCCGGCCAGATCCTGTAGTTTTCGCAACCAGAGAGACCGCTTTGGGGCATGCGCGCCCGGCAAAAACCCGGAAATATACTCCTGGGTTTGCCACTTACGTATCCCGAAGTTTATGTAACCGGAGGAATACGTAAGTGCAGGTACAACTGTAGTATGTAGACGTTGATATTTCCCTCACATAATCAGAAATTCAGCAACTCGTTCAGTTATCTCTTGGTGCTGAGAGATGATTGCCTCTTTCCGAAACAGTTCCGAAAGCAGAGAACGAGGTCCCCTCCCCAGCCTCATCTCACCACAGCAGCAACCAGCCTGCTTCTCTGACAGAGGAGAAGCGCACTCCGCAGGGGAGCCAGAACTCGCTCAACACCGTCAGTTCCGGCAGCGGCAGCACCAGTGGAATCGGCAGCGGAGGAGGCGGGGGCAGTGGTGTGGTCAGCACTGTGGTGCAGCCCTACGATGTGGAAATATGCCGTGGAGAGAATGAAGGCTTTGGCTTTGTCATCGTGTCTTCCGTTAGCCGGCCAGAAGCTGGAACGACGTTCGGTAAGTGCAGAACGTGCTTAGAATTGCTTTGGCTCTATAATCGGTTTCCTTGGTGGCTGGGGCTCTTTTACCTGCGCTCATAAGCGCCTCTACGTTTCCGAGGTACATAAACTAACTCGGCACACTGTTGATTTGTGCATCCCATTGCATAGTGCAGGCTTCCTCAACCTCTGCCCATCAGATATTTTTGGCCTTCAACTCCCATGATCCCTAGCTAGCAGGACCAGTGGTCAGGGATGATGGGAATTGTAGTCTCAAAACATCCAGAGGGCCTAGGTTGAGAAAGCCTGGCATAGTGGATCCCATTTTGATGGGGAGTTTTGTCTTGCATTGTCCTGTATCGAGGCAGCTGAATTCAGCAACTCTTTCGTTATAACCATTAATTACCTGGGTGAGGTCTTCTTCATTTCACTTACGGTGTTGCATCTCACGAGTAAAACTCAACTTATTTATGACCAACACTGAGGCAACACTGTGAAAAGAGCCTGAGTTGATTTGCCTCTGTACAGTGAGAATAATAATTACAGTTACTAAACAGTAATTGCAGTTCATGAATGTACTCCCTATTCTATTTAATTAATATGTTTAATTGGAAAGTCAAGGTTTGGGAGTTGTTTCCCTCCAGGGTCTTGTTCAAAGCTGTATTAGAGGAGAGGGGCTGTTTTTGTTTTTTGGAAAGCAGACTGACATTTTGAACTCTTGAGTAATGACAGTAGTAGAAGAGGTTGTCACTCACTGAACTCTTCTCCAGCGACAAAGCCTGTAGGCATGAGTTTAACGCAAGTGCCCTCTCTGACAGATGGCTATCCCTGGGAACAAACGGTGCTTTATTCTATATATGGACTTGTGAATAACTCTGGGTTTTTAAAAAAATAAAAAAATGGCCCTTTCACATTTATAGACATAAAAAAATATTTTGTTAAAATATTAATTTAACTGATCTTCAGGATGTATCACTGCACTCCCAAGTTCCCATTAAGTGAAACATGCAGACATTTAGTGGGGCCCGTGAAATCACTGAAGGTAATACTAGACTTAAATTTTGTTTGTGATACTTTTACGGCCCCTTCTCAGTATCTCCGCTGTCTCTCGCATTATGGCCACCCTGTGAGTTTGGGAAATGCCATTTATTCCAAGCTCTGGCAGCCAATAGGCATTCCAGATAAGGAATGGCTCCTGCTGTTCCAGTGAGTCTCAGTTTAACATTTACCACTATAAGCACTCCATGCGGCCAGCATCACATTTCAGAAGTGCTTCACCCCCACACCAGCATATGTGTGTACATTGTATGTATTCTTGCAGCCTGGATCCCCTGTGGGTTCTGTGCTGGCATGTGCAGCCTGCCCTGCATGGTGCCCGTGCCTGGGGGTAAGGCATGTTTTAGAACAGGATGCCAACAAGTGGGATGCTTGCGCCAACGTACTTTGTCTGTGGCCGTGTCTTACGTGTCTCTTCAACATTCAGCTGAGGACCGTAGATGTGACAACCACACAGCAAGTCCTTTCCATTCAGGGTTTGTTTCTCCAGGCACCAGAGAAAGCATAATCTAAATTAACTCAAGCATTGATCAATGGTAATTAGCTGCCCCATACATCCTAAATATGGCACAGGGATGGAACTGGAGGTTCTTGGAAGGAACCCCACAGACATAAAAAGAAATAGGAGAGCTTCTTTCTTCCACTGTTTTTATACCTGAATCTAGGACGCGGGACGCGGGTGGCGCTGTGGGTAAAAGCCTCAGCGCCTAGGGCTTGCCGATCGAAAGGTCGGTGGTTCGAATCCCCGCGGCGGGGTGCGCTCCCGCTGCTCGGTCCCAGCGTCTGCCAACCTAGCAGTTCGAAAGCACCCCCAGGTGCAAGTAGATAAATAGGGACCGCTTACTGGCGGGAAGGTAAACGGCATTTCCGTGTGCTGCGCTGGCTCGCCAGGTGCAGCTTTGTCACGCTGGCCACGTGACCCGGAAGTGTCTCCGGACAGTGCTGGCCCCCGGCCTCTTGAGTGAGATGGGCACACAACCCCAGAGTCTGTCAAGACTGGCCCGTACGGGCAGGGGTATCTTTACCTTTACTAGATATTACAGCAGAGTCTATTCAAATCAATCTCAATGTTGGGTTAGGGAAGAGCTTCATTTCTTCCGTTATCCAGCTCTAACTTGTCTAAACCTAAAACTTACTATAATAGACTTTAAAATATGGTGTGCTTCGTTGCATTGCTTACCCGGCAATGTTTAGTAATCCTGCCTGCAACATATAACATGCATTTCGGTTAATTATGACAACAGGGGTTCCTGAACCACTTGTGCTAAATGGTCCTTTGCAAATTCCGAGAGATAAGAGTTCTTCTGTCCCCAAAGGGCTTCTCTGACCATCTGTGATGGCTATTAAGAAACCATCATTGCAGATGAGACGATGAAGCAAGTACAGTTACGGAACCAGTCAAGACACACCAAATTGGTAGTAACTCTGAGGTGCAGGGGCCTAACATAAGGAGACAGTCCTTCCTTGTGATGGTGTAGCACATGAGCACCCATTCCACATATATATGTATTTTTTTTACTCTAAAACTTAATTAACCGTTGTGAAATGTATTGAAGTGGTCTCTTAAATAAGAGTATTCCAAAGCCTATGCTTGCCCAGATCAGCCAGAATAAGAATGATGAATGTGATCATTTGTGAAAAGATAAATTTTCGTGGCTAGAAATATGAGCAATGTGGAAGCAAATTTATGTCTTGACTTGACTCCCCCCCTTCTGCTCCCCAGAAAACACTTCTCCCCTATATTTTGCATGAGATGCTTGCCCTTAGCTACAAAGTGTGTGACTCATACCCATAGGGTTCTTTGTATCGTTATTCCGATCTCACAGAGGTGGTCTGCTGAGATGGGTTGAGCTACTTCAAAATTGTATTCATTTAGTTGTCTGGGTGTGTTAAGGAATTAGTCAATAAAAGTTACTCTCATGTGACAAAGCCAGGAGTGGGTGATACACACCAATGTAAATTATATAACGACCAATTATCATCAGTTATACTGCCTTCTGTTAGTGAGTAGGCTTTTCCTCATGTTGCCATTTTAACTCATCCTTCATTGTGATCTTTTTGATAAAGCACAGCATAAACATGTGTTTCAAACTACTAATAAAAATGCAGTGCAAGCATATCTTTGGATGAATGAATATTATTTCCAGCCACTTGGAAAAAATTACGTAGGTGTGATGGATATGACCACATTCAGATTCAACTGCACCCACTTACTAAATGCTAGTCTCTATATCTGCCTTGTGCAACTTTTGAGAAGTACACACAAATGTGGAAAGGAAGTGTTGTGAAAGCTAAGCAGTGTCAAGACAGCAGATTTTGACTTGAAAGTTCTCCTCAAGATCTGGGAATCTCAAACAGAGCTGGTATTCTGAAATTAAATTCCAACGGTAGATTGGCGGAAATAGAGGCAAGTGCCAGAATTGATCTCCAAGCCAGAGATGAGAAGCAAGAACAGTACAACACATTAGGTCTTGCTGAAAGATGAGTGTTGTCAAGATAGCCAGTGGCCCGGGCTGAATCAAAGCAAGGAAAAAAGCCAGAATCCTGCAGCCAGTTAAGTCCACTTCTGGACCCCATTAAAGTATATATCCATTAGATTAGTAGTTCATAAAGTGATCACCCTTGTACTGAAGATAAAGTGCTGTTGGTTTAAAAAAGAAGTCTACTAACAGAATAACCAAAAATATTGCTCAGCTCTCTCTGCTTCTTCCCCCGCCCCCACTCTTCTACTTTTAAGTTATTATAGAACAATTATATCACAAAAATATTTGCATTTGTTGTCCAAATGCAGTGCCAGCCTCGCATTGTGGAATGAGTTGGGCTTACACATTGGACTCTTAATTGATGTGATGGCTTTGCCTACCGTTAAATCGTTGCAAAATTTCTGAAGCCAATTCTGCGAGTCTGAAAGACGCACTGTTTTTTGCAGTATTGTCAAAATATCACTGCAATTTAACGTGCATTGAATAGTTAAAATCTGAAAGCTATTCTTCTTCATCCTAACTATATAGTAAAAAAGGTAAAGGTACCCCTGCCCGTACGGGCCAGTCTTGACAGACTCTAGGGTTGTGCACCCATCTCATTTAAGAGGCCGAGGGCCAGCGCTGTCCGGAGACACTTCCGGGTCACGTGGCCAGCGTGACAAAGCTGCATCTGGCGAGCCAGCGCAGCACACGGAAACGCCGTTTACCTTCCCGCCAGTAAGTGGTCCGTATTTATCTACTTGCACCCGAGGGTGCTTTCGAACTGCTAGGTTGGCAGGCGCTGGGACCAAGCAGCGGGAGCGCACCCCGCCGCGGGGATTCGAACCGCCAACCTTTCGATCGGCAAGGCCTAGGCGCTGAGGCTTTTACCCACAGCGCCACCCGCGTCCCTAACTATATAGTAAGAGGCACCAAATTTATTTCATTTTCTTGATTGGCTTGTATTCAAAACGTTTGGACAACTGGGCTTGCCTGCCACCAGTGGAAATAAGTTGCTATATCTCCACTTGTGCTAACTCCAAAGTTTTGCTGGAATGTTGTATGTATTCTTTCTGGTATAAGATACTAGAAGGCATATTTCTAAAATAGGTTTCTGTTAACTTTACACTGTATATCACATTTTAAGTACTTTTAACAAACCTCTTGTCACACATTGCTCCCATTTTAACAGATTTCAGTCTCCCATTTGCTACAACTTTTGTTACCCCCTCATAACGCAACATGGTGCCAGTGAGTAGCATATTGAAAACAGGAGGCAGGGGCCCAAATCACACTTCAGCCATAGCACCACCGGAAACCTTGAGCTTTTCACTGTTTCTCCACCTTCAGTTAAAATGGAGGTACAATAGAGAGAGAAGAGGGGTGGAAATGCAACAGCATGACCTAATAGCGTTGTGAGGATGAATGGAACAGTGGGGGAAATTGAGAAACTTTATTGTTCGTGGATTTCAGGGTAGGTCAGTTAATACTACCTTTGGAATATGCCTTGGTTTAGGCAGAATCATCCCCAGTGATTTTGTTGATCACATGCTGCACAGTATTTCCTGACAGCTGATCCCTTCTGGTTAAATTCTAGTAAAGGTTCTAGTAAAGCAGTGATGGCCAAACTTAGCCCTCCAGCCCTATAACCCCCATCATCCCTAGCTAACAGGACCAGTGGTCAGAGATGATGGGAATTGTAGTCCCAAAACAGCTGGAGGGCCAAGTTTGCCATCACTGGAGTAAAGGGAACAAGTAGCCATCACTCAACCCTTAAAGTGTTCATATTCTGCTTCAACAAAGAAATAAGAATTCACCTGTTTGTTAGAATTCACAATATGTGTTAGGTGTTGATAGGAAATAAAATACATTCATCCCAGATCACTTGCTCGTTTTCTCTTGCGCTCTCCAATACCAGCGGTGGGGAACTTGTAATCCTCTAAATCTGATGAGACTTCCAGCTCCCATCAGCAAGCAGTCCTTGTGGCCCGTTGGCAGTGATGGTGGAATTGGAACCCAGCAACACCTGGTTATGCCACAGTTCCCACACCTAATTCTAAGCACAAACACCTGGAAATGAGTTCCATGGAAACCAGTGGGGCTGACCCTAAAACAAATAAATTCATTTAGTTTTCTGGCTTGCAATCGAGAGCTGTTGTGGTCAGATTTGGGGATTTCCCACCCACTTTTTACCAAGATCGCAAAAAGGGAAGAGTTATCAAATGGTTTGGAGGCAAGTGGCTTTGGAAGGCTGTGGGTGGAATTCGTCTCATTCCTTTGACACAGATTTCTGCTTTTGCAACGAAGTGCTCCTCCCCTCTCCTTTCCCCTGCATGCCCCTTAAATCTGTTTTAGGGGTTCCCCCCAACCTTCTGGAGCAGATTTGGGGAGGGTGCAGTGCGCACGCAGGAGAGGGGGTGGGGAAAGTCCCGTTGCACAAGTGGAAACCTTTGCGCTGATGGGAGGCTGTGGCTGAATGCCGCCCCATATATTCCAGTCCTCCTGTCCCTTCTGTAGTTGCTCTGCTCCTTGCCTCAGATAGTTACCTCAGAAAGGAGGGGAAAAACATCACCCAGTTCCCTTCTGCTTTTATCCATGCTGTGTTCATTTTATAGTGCTGATTGCTATAAGGTTTTTTTTAAAATAATCAAACAAAACTTCCTTATTCCTTGGTAGACATAGAATGATTGTCTTTCAAAATGGAGAAAGAACAAAACATTGGCAGAAGCTTTAGCAGGCACTCACTGAGATGGCGATGATAAGATATTACAAGCTTAGGAAAACAATAGAGAGTTGCATTTCCATACAGCAGCAAACCTTGAAGTTTGCAACTAAAATCCTCTGTGATTTTATTTTGGGGACCACAACTCATCTGAAGAAACTGTGCAATTCTCAACCATGTTAATGGGAGAGAATTTTTTGTGTTTTGGGGGGGCGGGGAGTGGGGATTACTGAGGAAGATGTAGGAAATGCAATTTTGTGAGGCTTACTTTGCACTCCCAGAGCCAATTGCCAATGTTTTGAGCACTGGCAGCAAAGCTATCCTTTAATAACTTTTGCTTGATGCATTAATTAATTAACCCTTAACCTTCTCTTTCCCTTTTCAACCCTTTTTCTCCTTTCCCCCTTCACCACGTTCCCAACGTATGTAAACGATTTGTTAAACAAAAACCAAAAAACATGCACACGCACACGAAATATATATCTATATATCGCAATATCAATACAAAAGCGGGCAATGCATGTGTGGCCATGCCTCACAAAATAGGTCGAATTATTGAGGGGAGCCCAGCAGACCGCTGTGGGAAGCTGAAAGTGGGGGACCGGATCCTGGCCGTTAATGGATGCTCCATCACCAACAAATCACATTCGGACATCGTCAACCTAATTAAAGAAGCGGGAAATATGGTTACTCTGCGCATTATCCCAGGGGATGGTAAAGTATATATTCTCTTAATTTTTCTCTCCCCACCCTCTCCCCATCGTAGTTGGTCATTGCTTTTTACGGGCTTTTGAGTTGCTTTGAGCTACACCGACTTAGGAGATTGTGGTCCGAGCAATTCTAAAGCCCTGGGCATATTCTGAGAGAAACTTGTGCTGTACTGTTATTTATTTATTTTCCTTCTATAGAAATGCTGCAATGGGCAGGTGGGGGTTTTTTTGGGGGGGGAGTAGACTTTGCTCCCACAACATTGTGTCTTTTTTTGTGTGGGAGCTGAGTAGTGTATGGAAATTTTCTAGTTGAATGGAAGGGCTCTTTACAGTTCTAATTCCTAGCTGGGACACACTTTTCCCTCACACTCATTGTCCATTTCTTTTTCCCCCATTGGTGTAGAGCAGGGCTTCCCAAACTTGGGTCTGCAGCTACTTTTGGACTACAACTCCCATCATCCCTAGCTGGCAGGAACAGTGGTCAGGGAATGATGGGAACTGTAGTCCAAAAACAGCTGGCGACCCAAGTTTGGGAAGCCCTGGTGTATAGGATCTACAAGACATCTAGGTGCTTTCCTAGTGCCTGTGATATGCGTTTTGGCACTAAGCGATCAGATGCGTTCCAAATAGCCACTCCAAAAGCATGCTCAGTGCCAATTGCCTGTGCATGGTTGGAGATATGAACCACTGGGGATCTTCCTTCCATCTCAGCAAGGCCATTTAAGCATTAGGAATATTTTGGGGTGATTATCAGAAATCGGGGACATTTGAAACTTGTGGAGCATGTTTTAGATGCATCTCCTAAAGAATTTGGATGTGTTAACTTGTGGTAATAACTCTAAAGCATTTTGCCAACCTACAGAAGCTGGTACGGCATTACATGCCCTGGAAATCTCAACTTTACTTTAAAAAAACCAAAACCCTCCTTAGTCCTCATAGTTGCTTGATAGTTCAACTAAAGGCAAAAAGGTACATATAGGGAGTACATGGAGCAGGACCCAGCTCAGACATGAGAGAGGAAGCTTATATTTTTGATCCGGTGCAATTTGGTCCTTTGCAGTTTGGTGAACCTTCATTCATGACCACTGTTTCCTTTCCATCTACTTCCCTACTGACTACAATCCATATGCTCAAGTCTCACCATTTCTCCTCCTTACTTCTTTTATTCTTTGTTAACTTGACTCTTAAGAAGCAGAATAAGTAAATTCTGAAGCAGTTCTTGGATTGTTACAGGGGTGTGACACAACACAGGGGAAGCACAACACTGTATTGACTTTGAGACTACAATCCATTAGGAATGTGGTTGGAATAAACTCTACTCTTTCTACAACATACTCAGAATCATCTGGAAAAGCACTAGATGTGATTCTTGTGGTCCCTTACTCCACTGAGAAGCCATGAATCACACACACTCTTTCTGGAGAATCACTGGTACCCCTTTCCCTTCTCTTTGCAGTCTTAAAATACCATCACTAAATCTAATGTACATCCTGCATGTTTCGAATCTGCTTTTGTCTTAAGGGATGGCTGCGCGTGCAACACGAGAATAGCTGGCTCTCATTCTCTGCCTTTTGCTATGTGTAATCCGGAAGTTTTATGTGTTGCAAAGGAAGGTTAGGAAGCAAAAGGGATAAGCGCCTGTTGAAAAGAAGCTTTGTTTCTTCTCTTTAGATCACTCTAAAAGCTTTTCCGTAGTCACGAGAGTGCTTGCTTTTTAGCTTCAGAAGATAGAACCAGATTGAGGATTTGTAGTCTTACAGACAGAGCACAGGACAGAAAGTTACATCGTCATGAGTTAGTAGGATAGTATATTTATTCAGCAAGTTGCTTCATCATATCTTAAGATACTGTTTCGTTAGATGCGTTCTTATTTTGGAATGTGCTTACATATTCCAGATTCTCAGAGGCCCATAAAAGTTAAGGTATTTCATTTATTTCAGAATAGATGCTACAGAGAAAAGTACCATAATTCGGGTGTCCCTTGATCTCAACGGGATGGTGTTGGTGAGAAGGAGAATTTTCTGGTCACCTTACTCCAACTCTGCTTTTATGTGCTGCAGAGTGATTAAACTGACACACTTCTACTTTTGTTGTAAACTGCCCATGGAATTCTAAGAAAGAAAGAAAGAAAGAAAGAAAGAAAGAAAGAAAGAAAGAAAGAAAGAAAGATTCTGTTATATGATTTCTTTATAAGGTTCAAAATCCATCTATATCCCTAAGAAACATATTTAAACCCTTGAATACAATTATCCCTGTCAATGATTCCAAGAAAAGGCAGATAACATGGAGGAACTTGAAAGTAGCGCTGTGCCATATATTCTTAAATGTATGGTGTCATATTTGGGGGGGTGAAGCAAGGGCCTTTTAGAGTTCTTCCATGTTTTCTCTGAAATGACTTTGTTACTATTAGCTCTGTCTGTGTGATGGGGGGTCATCACACAGACATGTCACCCCTGTTTTCAAAAGCCCCCATGAACAATTGCTGAAAGGGCAGAATTTTCACAGACTTGAAATCTCGGATTGCTTCTGAGATTTGAGCTTTATAAGTTTGATAGATAGGGTATAAACATTTCAAATAAACTATATCTCCATAAACGTTGGGTTTATTTACTTTGCTTCATTTATGCACCACCCATATATACAACTCTGTCCTCACGAGTGATTTGCAAACTTATTAAGAAGCCCAAAATACAATCCCAAAATGGTAAAACAATAAAACAAATTATTAGCAATGCAGCAAGGAGGAAAGAACTTAATAAATTACCTTTTTTTGCTGGAACAGGCACAAATGTCCGCTTGCCCTTTGGTGTAATGATACAAAATGTAATTTAGAAGCATACATTGTTTATTTGTTAACATTTTTACCCTGTTGTTTCTTCCAAACGGAGTCCACCCCTTATGTCAGAACTGCTGGCACCTATTAATATCTATACAAGTTGTAGAGACCTCAGAGATTTGACAGTTTGTATCTTAGACTTCTGAAGAAATCAGGGGGGAAATTAACCTCTGTATTTCAAATGATTTTATTACGCTATGCCAGAAGTCAATAAGTTGTCTCAAAGATTGAATGGTGTGATTATTACCATATAGATTCAGTTCTTTAAACAATTCAGCAGACTTAGGGTTGCATCCAGCTAAGATCTTAGAGTAGATCCCTTGAAATTAAAGACCACAATTTGGTCATGCCTGTTAACTTCAATGGATCTACTCTGGAGTAGGACTGTCGCTGGATACAACCCTTACTATTTTCTGAGACTATTCAGCAAATATACCATTTTACTATACATAACAAAATAGTCAGAGCTGGAGTTTTGCCAGTCAGACCTGCATTGTAGCAAATATACATGTTCAATATACTTTCTGTTTTCAAGTCTGGAAACAGTAGAGAAAACAAGGATTTGTTTTCATTTGAGGCAACTATTATCCTTATTCTGAAATATTCATGAAATTTTTAAGAGACCAATTTTTGTAGAGAGTCCAATTTTGAAATTGATTGCATATCATGGGGCTGCTAAGATGCTCTCTTAGCTAAGATGCTCTCTTAATTAAACTGGTTCATATCCAACTAAGTTATACTCAGAGTAGACCCAGTGGAACGAAAGGGCCAAAGTTAGTCATGCCCATTATTTCAATAAACCATCTCTGAATAGAACTAAAACTGGAGACAATCCCTTGTGTGTGCACCCAAACCAGTTCAGTTGTTGAGGGCCTGAATTGCTTAGATGTTGTAGGGCAACAGCCACCAAATGACTTCTACCATGGGTGTGGCCTAACACAACATGGCCGCTGGCTCCCAAACAGCCGGAAAAAGAATTGTTGCAAAAACATTCCATCACTAACATATAAAAAATACCTGCGAGTTTACTAAGGGCTGGTTGAGTCAACCATATAATTCACTTGATTTCTTTAGCTGATGACTGGCAGCTAGTGAATAGACTCATTAAAAAGCAGTGTGCTTGAGGTGCCATAAGATTCTGCATTTCTGATTTTCTCATCTGTTCATGCATGCCAGTGATGTTGCAGTCATGAAGTGAAGAACGACCCTGGCATTTCAGATCATGTACTCCGTAACAAGCTGCTTGACGTAGTCTGCTAGCTTCTGTAAAAATTGGCTGAACCTCTTCCTCTTGCAAAGGCCCCTCTCCTCTCTCTTACATGCTACCATTGTCTTAGTTCTCCTTCCTGGTGTCTTAGTGCTCCTTCCTGTTTCTCAAGTTCTCTTCCTAGCTCAGTGCTGTTAAGGGAAAGAAAGTCCTTCCCCCAAAGACCAGCGGAAGAACAGGCAGGCATGTCTCTATGTGTGTTTTTGTGTGGCTGCATGTCTGTTGAGCACTCACACGTGCAAAGACATTGGCCATGCCCTTGAAGGGTTGGCCAACAGCACCCCTGCTTTAGAACGGAAGAACAAAACACATTTTCTCATTCTTTACTATCATTGTTCATGGCATCCCTTGCCTTTACTACGACTTAATCAGTTTGGCTACAGTCACCTGTGTGGTTTTATCAAAGGCACCATAATAATACATCAGACAAGATGATGTCAAGGACAAAATCACATAGGTCACCAAAGCCAATTGGATTAAGTGACTGTGGACTGTTATTTTTTTTTATAGTTTATTTATTTGAATATACACTTCCCTAAAATATACCATAAGGGAGCAAGGACAGGGAGGGCAAAGAAAAAAAGAAGGGCAGTGATGCTGAGAAAAGGCTGCCAAACAATACCAAAACTCTGTGAGTGTTCAGCAAATTGTTTTTTTCAACAACTTGGCTGTGTGCATGTGAATGCTGCTTTTGAAAGTGAATGTTGAAATTGGGGAGCGTTTGTCTCGACCCTTCATAGAATCAGCTTTTTTGTTTTTGAAAAGCAGCTCTTGAACATTATGAAGTGTAACAAATCCCCTTTACCAGCTGTATCATCAAGGCAACAGAAAGCTAAACATGCTGCTATTGCTCAGTGTTTCTGTTTAAATCGGGAGTCAAATGGTGAGAGTGAGTCAAAAAGTGACAAAGAAATGTCTTTGGATATGCCAGAATGACAGCCTCTCCACCCCACCCGTGTGCTTGCAACCATGAGGTCTAAAACGTCTTGTGATACAAATTGAATATTAAAGATATCAGGATCACAAAGCATAAAAAGCCCTAAACAACAAGGATAAAAACCCAGACATACAACTAAAATTGATGTTGTATGCAATGATGTGTTCACTGCCATGATGGAAGAAGGGGAAATTCCACTATTATTTTCATACATACACTAGTCCCCTCCCACCTTACTAATATATTAAGGCTTCGTAGGCAATCTGTTAACCAGTGTGGTGTTAAATAAATACTCAGTGGGCAACCACTTATATAATTCACTGTCTGTTACTGGATTATGTGAGCTGGTACAAATCTTTGTTGGGCAGCGTGTTGTTTAAAAATGTATTTGATGACTTTGGGTTACTGTGGCCAAGGGAAAGCTGTGTGTGAATCATTATCACAAGAATAGCCTGCCTTACAAAGGGCATTGTTTTATTTTGCAGAATCCTCCAATGCAACCTTATTGACCAATGCAGAAAAAATTGCTACAATTACAACCACACATACTCCTCAACAAATGCCACAGGAGACCAGGTCAGCCTAATGTTCATTTCTGAAAGTGTGTTGATCTTCTCTTTCCCCTTTTACTTCTCAAGCATCTTCCTAACCATAACACTGACGCTGTTCTCTCTCCCTCTCTACTCCCCACCTCCGCATTCCTTATCAATTTGAACAGGAACAACACAAAACCAAAGCAAGAGTCCCAATTCGATTTCAAACCACCCACAGCCTCACAGGTAAGGTATCCTTATCCAATTTGTGTCATTTATGCTGTCCCTTGCATGCCTGCAGGAAATCTTTATTGTGGACTGGGGAACCAGTGGCCTTCTAGAAATTGTTCGACTCCCACTCCCATCACAGCTAGGGGCTTAGAGAGACTTGTACAGCAGCAACATCCAAAAGGCCACACTGCTTCCACATCTCTGCCCTATGTCCTTCCTCCGTCTAGCTTGTCTGAAAAATATAAATCACCAATTAATGTACTCAAGTACACTAATGGTGCCCCAACCATATTTGTAGTAGAGATGTGTTTGTAGCAGACAAAGCTTACTCATGATTGATGAGGAGGGTGGTGAATATTCTGTGATGATACTATTCATGGTGTGTTTGCAAGATTGATTTGGTTTCACCATGGTGATAAGTTGTGTTCCAAGCCCTACATTTAGAAGGTAAAAACTCAGTGTCGTAAAAGATCCCTAGAAGTAGCTCCCTGGTCATCCCTTCCATAGGTGGTTTTGTGCCTGTTTCATTGACTATTATGGCCTCACATATCTGTTACCTCTTCTGCTGACAATTGCCATAGAAACTGCTGCAATTGTTCCCTGTTGAGTGCTAGTTTACGATATGGAAAGGATAAAGGAGGAAGACATTTTTATATCTTTCTTAGCTATGTATTCCTCAATATATAAAACAATAATAATTAGAAAACAGGATATATGATGTACCCGCAGTATGCCTAAGGATCACATAGGAGACTTCCTAGCAATTATAAGTACAATGGTACCTTGATTTACGAACTTAATCCATTCCGGAAGTCCGTTCTTAAACCAAAGCATTCTTAAACCAAGCCGTGCTTTCCCATAGCAGCAGGGGACTCAATTTACAAATGGAACACACTCAACATGTTCTGTTTCCAAGGCAAAGTTCACAAACCAAAGCACCTGCTTCCGGGTTTGCAGCATTCTTAATCCAAGTTGTTCATAAACTAAGCTGTTCTTAAACCCAGGTACCACTGCAGTGACTATGTAGTTAACTTCAATTCTGTATGCAGAATGAGATTAATAAAGAAAGGTCACTGTCGTTTGCTCTTAATTTGGGATCCTAAATTGGGTCTTTAAGAGCAGATAGATTTCTTCTGAAAACAAGCCTGATTTGATGCACTTTTCGTATTAACTTAAAAATAATGATAATTGTAATCTCTTTCAAATTGGTTGCAAACTGCTTCTTATTACTTCCCTTCTAGCCGGACCAGGATTTTTACACAGTGGAGCTTGAAAGAGGAGCCAAAGGGTTTGGCTTTAGCCTACGAGGGGGCCGAGAATATAACATGGATCTCTATGTGCTGCGGTTAGCGGAGGACGGTCCTGCTGAGAGATGCGGGAAAATGAGGGTATGTCTGTAAAAAGAAAACATTTCCCATGAGCTCCCCTTTTCACTAGATCTAAGAAAAGTCTGTTGAGAACCAGAATCTCTGCCCCCAGCTCCCTGCTCTTTCTCTTGCTCTGTTTGGGGGAGGCGTGGGCATGGGGAAAGAGGATGGTCTCTAGGTACAGTGATTTTTAGGGCCCTGAGATAAGCTTCATGTGTGGCCCATTATAGAATGGACAATGCAGGAATGCTTTGTCATACAATTCTCTGCAAAACTATCGTATGTTTGAGCAGTGCTAGTATGTACAGTGAAAGCAGTGCTTTTGGTTTCTGTCCCCTCAACCTTCTGGGGCAGATTTGGGGAGGGTGGAGGGCGCATGTGGGAGGAAAAGAAGGGAAGAGTTCAGTTGTACAAGCAGTTGTATTCAGTTGTGCTAAGGAAATAAACAATTATCTGACCTTTAGAAGACAGCCCTGTATAGGGAAGTTTTTAATATTTGATGTTTTACTGTGTTGGATGTTTTGATTTGTTGGAAGCTGCCCAGAGTGGCTGGGGTAACCCAGTCAGATGGGTGACATAGAAATAAATCATCATCATCATCATCATCATTATAAATACTTGTGCTAACAGAACAAGGGCATTGGACACTGCCCAAATTCATGTTCTTCCAGCATTTTTCTTTAATCATGGATTGTTTTGTTACGGCAGATCGGTGATGAAATCCTGGAGATCAATGGAGAAACCACAAAAAACATGAAGCACGCCCGAGCCATAGAACTAATTAAAAATGGTGGCCGCAAAGTTCGCCTGTTTCTCAAACGTGGAGATGGCTCTGTACCAGAATATGGTGGGTCAAACTATGAAAACGTTCCTTTTCTTCCTCCTGGCATCACACCATGAATGATATGTCTCAAGATCTGAAGCGGGGATTCTTTTCTGTCCCCCACCCCTCTCTCTTTCTCTTTTTTTTCCACCAGTGTCTTACCAACCTTGGCAACAAGTGGCTTAATTGCCTCACTTGTGCTGAATTTTCTCTACACATTTTCATCCTTTGCTTGCTACTATGGACTTTTGTGGGGGCACAGTGTACAGGCAAGATCATCTTCAAAGCAGTATTTTTTTGGTGATCAGAGAGGGCAAAAAACAAACAAACCCAGAGAGACAAAAACAAAAACCCTACTATCCTGTCCGACCAAACAAGGAATGTTTATTGAACTGTGCCAAACTCTTTCTCAGCGGATGAATTGTTTCTCTCGTCTTCTGATCAATGCAGAAATGGGAATCCTGTATTATACTTCTGAAGCTGTAGCCTTTGTTTGGCTTTTGTCCTTGGCTGTTGTCTGTAACTGTAGGCATGAATTCCAAGATGGTGTCTGGGCTTTTACTGTCCCCTTATATTTATGTAAATATTTATAAATTTATTTTTTAAAAGTATGCAATACTATATATATATATATATATAAATATAAATATACACACACACTTGGACCCCTCTCCTGCCACCTTCTTTAATGTTTGTTCGTTCACAACTGTGTAAGCTATGAACAAATTCAATTTGCCATTCTCAGTGTTTTGTCATGTCCGGTGAGATCACATAAAATTTTCTTGCCAAGAGTTTAAAAACAAATAAATAAGGTCAATTTTCCCACCACTGTATTTGAGTTCCCTAGGTAGAGGTTTTGGGTGGCTTAATATTGTATATAATGTTACGCTGTCTTATTTATTTGAGATAATTATTTGAAGGTATGCCCTGGATTGTGGGGTTTTCCCCAGCTATATAACAGGTTTCCAACCAGTTATGAGTTATAAGCACATAAATGAACAGAGATGTCCTTTATGCTTCCCCATATTCGGGATAATAATATATCAATAAATTATATTCCTTCTATCCCAGTGTGGGAAATTACAATGGTCCCAACCAGTCTCCCTTTATTGTCCTTCTTCCCCCCCCCCCCACAAGCTGAATGGAGGAGGGGTTGGTTGGTTAGCACAAGGCCACATGTGGATGGGAGCGTCCCACATTTTAAGGGTCACAAGCTGGACTTTTAAGAGTAAATTTGCACCAAGTTGAACTGATCTTATGAATGGTTGAGTGTGTGTCCAGGTGTCAATCCAGCTTGTCCTGAAAAGTTGAACTTGAGGTGTGAGGAGTTACAATCTAGGCCAGCCCTCGTCAGCCTTGTGCCGTCCCAGACATAGACTAGAACTTCCTTCAGCCTTGATGGTTGGCCTGGCTGATGGGCTGTGGCTGGAGGACACATGGAGGGCACCAGGAAGGCTGATCTAGGCCCGTAGATCTAGGCGCAAACTGTTTATAGGGCCAGGTCTAGAAACACAATCACCTCAAAAAGTCAAGCTAACATGTTGACGTTAACATGGTTTAAAAAACAACAACTTGTGAGATTCTTCCCTAAAGGCAACACATAAATGAGTTCTTTCCACTGTTCTGTCAGAGGCAGCCAGGCGCTGCTTTGGCGTGAAGTAGCAATGCCGCAAGTGCTGGGATGGGATTTTTTTCCTTACACACAGAGAGAGAATGTCAGAGGAAGCTGTAAGGCTGCTTGCGGACACACTGGAGTGCTTTTCCCCAAGCTGGGCTGGTGTTGATATCTCCACTAAACACCCCACACTCCAGTTGCTAATTATTTGTTTAAAAAAGGAACAGTGCGAATGTATCAAACATAGGCTCATCGTCTATTTTTATTTATGACACACTCAAGACCGTGCACTCAATTGCCCGCAAAATTACACTGGGCCCGAATAGCCTGGCCGATTCCACTCTATAAATTCAAATCCATTTGTAGTACTTAATGAATCGAAGCTCTTTTGTGTTTGCAATTCTCTTGTACAAACCACTCTGTTAGCCATCTTTCAGCAGGACTAAAGTTGTGTAATGTTCTTTCTTACTCTGTCTTTTCCTATGCTCTTTTGGCTGTAAAGTATTGTATCATATGTTAAGCATCGTAAATATATCCTGGGTTGTTGTTTTTTCCCTTGGGGGGGAAAAATATTGCTTCACATCTTCAAGAAAGTCTGTTGCACCAAGGATGAAAAATCCCAACACCAGGGCATGGGGTGGGGCAGCTTCTTTTATTTTCTTTGTCTTTTGGCTGCACGTAACAAATGTTAATCACGTAACCAATTCCATTTCTGAGCAAGGGGCTTTGCTGCTGCTGCTGCTGCTGCTGCTGCTGCTGCTGCTGCTGCTGCTGCTATGTGCTTGTAACATTCGGGGGGCTTAAGGCATCTACAGTTCGCTGCAGTCACTAACAAGTTGCTTCGAAAAAATAATATGTTAGGTTCCGATATTTTTCTGACTTGATTGGAACGTGCTTCTCTAACGAGGCTGTATATTTTTGTAATGAGTTTTGTACTTATTTTTAACGTTGTGATCTTTCGTGGGCTTCTTTTTGTCGTTGAATGTTAACTGGTTTTCCTCTAACATTCTGTCTCACTTTCCAATTATGTCTCTTTCTCCTCCGTCTTTCTCTCTCTCTCTCTTCCTCTTTTCCTCTCTCTCTCTCCCTCTCTCTCTCTCTCTCAGAATGGATGCTTTAGTTGTCTGGGTTACCTAATCACCTTTTTTAAATGTTTAATTATAATATGTCGCTTTAACAACTGCTATCTCTGCAGCCTTATATCTGGGTGATCCGGACTTGGAAAAAAAATAAACTTTTCTTTATTCTAAGATAAAAACAAATGAAGATTTTTTTTTCTTTCCTCTTTATTATAGGGTATCTAAACATTCTACTTTTCTCTTTCTCTTTCTCCTACTTTTCTTGGTGCCGGGCTCTTCCTTCCTCAGCGATGATACCTCCTAATATCGCTGCATGTATGAGAAATGACAAGCTCGGGGAGTCTTGCTTCTACCTTATGGGCCATAATCAAACTACGGTTTGTAGCTAAAATCAATACTAGGTGTTTCTGTGCTGTGGCCTAATTCTCTCACATTGCTTTCTGCTTTGCTATACTTCTGTATATACGGCAATTCATTCTGAGCAACCTGCAGTTCCTTGAATTACTGTAAGTACACTGAGCAACACGGTCTTCTACTGCGGACCACGAGATACCAAAATAAGTTGGCATCAATAGAAGAGAAGAACGTGGTCCTCCATATTTTTATTTTTTTTGAAAGCCAGCTGATAAGATGAAACTTGGACATGGTTTCCACCTAGAAATCATCAAAATAATGGCCTGCACAAAACCAAAACTAAGCTGGTTGATCAAGAAAAGAGCTCACATCTCAGAAGTTTATTTAATATTCAGGAGGAGAGAAAGAAGAGTCTTGGACTCTAAAGCATTTGGTCATTTTAGTTTGCCTAAAACACCTGTTGGGCACATGTTGGGTATCTTGATATAAAATCCATAGAATTGTCTTATAGAAGACATATGTTTATATATAAATAACACACACCCCTCAAAGCAACCTAACTGCAATAGTTTGTCATTTTTATAATAAACAATTCACAACCATCCATTGCAAATGATGTATCCAATTTTAAAATTCACTCTGGCACCAATTCTTTGCTTTTCATATTGCCATTCCAATGTCATTGAGCTTACATCATGTACGTTTGTTGCAAAGGAGATTTTAATATTCCTACGAGCTCCATTCTGCACATCTAAACAGCTTTCCATTGCTTTAATAAGATGAGATCCTGTCCTTCTCCATTCCCCATCCTCCTTGCTGCCTCTCATTGTGTGTGTTTAAGTTGAGTCATTGTGGCAAAACCAAAATTGTTCCCACCACACTTCCATGATATATTGAAACTAACTGGAGTTAAGCTGTATGCCTACTGTTTCCAAGAATAGGAACGCAAGGGTCATAGTATAAATGCTATGCCATTGAAATCTGTATCTCCAAGGCACATCACTCAACAAGATGTTTGTACACTTAAAAGAAAACCATATGAATAAAACACTAAGCTTTCCAAGAAGAGCATTTCCTCCCTGCCTCCCAATTTTTCTTAAAAAAACAACACAAACAACACACTCCTTTTCTTTAACAGACATTTAACGCAGGGAGGTGGCAGAAAGGAAAGGAAAAGGATATGGAGATATTAATTGGATATAAGATTATTAATTCTAAAGGAATTAGGGTAGGGAAGGGCCATAACTCAGTTGTGAGGTGCATCCTTGGCATGTAAAACCTTGCAGAACACCCAGCATCTCCAAGTAGAGCAGGAAATGCAGTGGTACCTCTGGTTACAAACTTAATTTGTTCCGGAGGTGCGTTCTTAACCTGAAACCGTTCTTAGCCTGAGGTACCACTTTAGCTAATGGGGCCTCCTGCTGCTGCCGCGCGATTTCTGTTCTCATCCTGAGGTAAAGTCCTTAACCTGAGGTGCTACTTCCGGGGTAGGAGAGTCTGTAACCTGAGGTACCACTGTATAGGGCAAACAAAGACTTCTGTCTAAAACCCTGGGGAACAGCTGCCAGTCATTGTAGGTAATACTGAGCTAGATGGGCCAATGGTCCGACTTGGCATAATATGTCAACATATTCTCATTTGAACCTGAGAAAGTTTAAAATTCCTCCACTCCTGATGTAGAGGAGACCAGAATCTGGCCTAAGATGGCCCCAGCCAGGACAAATGGCAGTGCTTATCTCCAGCCCTCAGCCTTTGCGGTTTCTCTGAAATTAACGAACGCTTCAGTTAGTCTCCTACTGACTGCTTAACAGTTGTTTGTTTTTGTCACTAATGAAGCCTGAGGAATGAATGACTGGTGTCAGACTCTTAAGACGAAGGTGCCGATACCAAACATGTTTGTTGTCTTTTTTTCAGACCCCAGCAGTGACAGGAACAGTCCAGCCACAGGTTCACAAAATGTATCGGAAGTGAAAAACATGCCATCTGACAGACGACAACACTCATCATTGGAGCCCAGTTATCCACCAGATCTTCACAAATCATCACAACATGGAGACAAGCGGATATATGTTAAGGACCCAAAAGGCAGCAGAGAGTTTGGCAGACAATCTAATGAGCACCACACATGGAATGGAACTTCTAAAAACAGCAATAGCATAGCAGGCAGGAAAAAAGACAGGTCCCCGGAAGGCAGGAGAGACCGGCAACCGGAGAGGATGGTGGTGATCAATGGACAAAAACGGAAATCTCCCGAGAAGAGGAGGGAAGGGACCAGGAGTGCTGACAACACTTTGGAGAGAAGGGAAAGACATGAGAAGAGGAGAGACTTTTCTCCAGAGAGACGGAGGGAGAGGTCACCAGCCCGCAGGAGGGATGGCTCACCAAGCAGAAGGAGGCGGTCGCTCGAAAGGCTTATGGATCAACGAAGGTCACCTGACAGGAAGAGGGAGAGCTCCCCCCCTGAAAGGAGGGCAAAGTCAACTGACAGGAGAAGGGAGAGGACCCCAGAACGGAGGAGAGAGAGGTCTCCTGACAAAAGGAATAGAGATGATAGAGTGGGTTTCAGGGAGAAGGAAGAGCGCGCTCTAAAATACGACACTAATAAAAATAACAGGCACCCCCCTGAGCAAAGACGGCGACCCTATAAGGAATGCAGTACTGACCTCAGTATCTAGTGGGTTTTGCAAGCTCAAGATACAACTGCGGCCTTTCCAGCATTCAGCGTTCCCAAGAGTGCGAAGGTAGCAAGCTGGGAATCCATTTTAGTTCCCCACATCCGATGCCTCCAACAGCAACAGTGGAAATGAAATCTAAATCATGAGAGTTTGTGCAAGTCTTGTACCTGGTTTATGACAACATTAAAGTATTTTCCAATGTATTCATTAAAAAAAATATGTCGCCAAATGTTAGTCTTGAAGGATTATGAAAGTTGTGTTCTTCCATAATCAGTAACCATAATGAGCATAAAACCTTTCATTGATAACTTTTGTTTCATTGTTGTCCCTTTCCTAGTTATTTGGAGGGCGAGGCAACAACGGTTAAGGGTTTTATGACCAACCACACTGATTTGCTCTCATTGCGATTCACTGCAGTGATGTTATGTAGGATTTCCTAAAGGATGGGTTGGAGGAAGAGTGTTCTTATGAAGAGTAGGTTTATAATTAAATAACCGAGAACTACTGTGGTAGAAGGGTGTGTCCCCCCCCCCTTTACATATAAAGAACGTATTGCTAAAATTAAGAACTATTTGAAGAGACTACTATTAGGATGAAGGATATTTATACAAATCCACACAGCACAAGATGTTAAAAGGAATTTATAGTGTGTTCCATGAACAATATGTACTTTTGGGTCTCCTTTAAAAGGAAGCAAGGTGGCCAAGGACTGGGAGCCATTGTGGGGATCAACCATCTTTTTCTCCCCCCCCCCCCTATCTGGACACTGAATATTTCACAAAGGCAGCACCACTGTGAGTCTTCTTCGACTGGGCGGATGAAACTGGAGTCTGGACAATATCATTTGTCTACTCTGAAGGGAAATTTATATTAGTTTTGGTTCCTGAGTCAAGATGCATTTTGAGGAACAAACGCTCCTTTCACAGACTGGGTTTTAATGCCTTCAGTTCAGGCTATATGTTTTTATTACTATTATTGCCAAATGGAGCTGCCTCTCTAGGATTCTGTTTTTTGTTTTGTTTTGTTTTTCCGATTTGCTGGTCCACACTTACTTGAGGCAAAAGAAGTGTATTTGCAAAGGAAATGTGATGTGTCGAGGACTGTTAAAAGAAGCAGTGGCTGGAAAGTTTGGCTTTGGGGTTTCAACACCAAGTATATGCTGTACTTCTGGACTGTAAAGAATGGGGAGAAACCAATACAAGGTTCTGTTTTTTTTAATGGCAAGTTTGTGTGGTAGGTCTGCTGTAGTACTGATATGAGATATTAATGGATTACTGCCTAGCTGAGCCAAAATGTTTGCCATTACCATTGGACCACTAAAGGTTTAAAGACTGCTGCTTTTTTTTTTTTTACAGTGCATTGATGTGTACATGTATACTGTTTCACCATCTTTTACACACACACACACACACACACACACACACACACAGGTAAGGATTACAAGTCTATCACTGTTGTTGCCATGGTACTGTAAAGAAAAAGGAAAAAAAGAGATGGCCAATCATTGTGTGTACAGAGTTTAAATTGTAATTAATAGAGCCTGTTGAAAACAAAACAAAAAAACTGTTGCCTTTTTTCTTATATAAAAGAGACTTTATGACAAAATTTAGCTGTGGGGAATGTGCTAAGTGTTTATATTTCTGGAAAAAAAATGGAACAAATTGATTCATGAGGATATATTTTAATGTAAACTGAATCAGGTATGTAAAGCTGTTTTAAACAGGAGACTGTATAAGTAACTGAAGCTTTTGTTGGTTTGAATATCATATCTTTCCTCATGGTTGGGGGGGAGGGGCTGCCTGTTTGACCCTTAGGCACTTGTGTGCGGTCTGTGTTCTTCTTCAGTCCTCATTTCTTGCAGTGTGCTATAGTCATAATGCTCTCTCTTCTGTGTCGATGAAAAGCAGTCTGTGGGCCAATCTTTTTTATAAAACACTATGCATATATAAATACTACATTGTTCATAGCTTTATTTGACTTAATCGGGTTTATACATGACATTAGTTATAAGTAGATGTGGACTTTACCCAGTATAAAATTCTTTCCTTGGGATAAAACACAATGTATATGATGTAGCTACTAAGAAAGAAAGAGTCTGTGAATGCTATTTTTATTATCAAATAAAGATTTCCATACAAAGTAAACAATATGGCTGGAGTGGTAAGATGAAGAAAGTCTGCGGTACGACTCGCCCAGGTTTGCCCTGCTCTCCTTATATAGTACTTGACGAAAGAAGGATGCAAGACTCCCTTAGGAGGTACGAAGAGGTTTGTATGTGGCCGTCTTGGCTGAACCAGTGGAAGACCAGCAGAGTGTGCAGTTGTGTTCCCAAATCACATCAAACAACAGCTTTAATAGCCAGTGGAGAAGCGTAAGGGCCATAGGTCAACAGTAGAGTGTCCAGGGTCATTCCTGGCTCCAGGGCTGTCTGAAAACTTGGAGAACTCCTGCCAGAAGTCAATTCTGAACTAAATGAGCTCAATGAAAGGCAGCTTTCTAGGATTCCTCTTGTATGCATTTTCCTTTCTTGGGTTTGTGTTTCAGTGACTTTCTGACTAGGATCCCTAATCAGCAGGGCAACGTCTCAGTTGATCTTGGATCCATCCAGTATACGATGGAGTTACATTGCTGGAGCGAAGAGGTCTAAGCAGTGCGACCTGCCTGGGGAAGGACCACATCTAAGTCCCTTTGGAGAAAAAGCATGGCATGAGTGGAATAATGAATTCAGCCACACATTTAAATATATTGGGTTGGCTACAAAGCAGTAATTGTGTGACAGTTTTCTTATGATTTTATGAGCTAAACTGATAAAAAGGTCAAAGACTCATTCAAATGCTGATGGATATTAAGAGTGGGTCCAAATGATTATTCATTTTCTTTCACATGGAGGAAGGAAGATAAATGAAGCCCTGATGGACACATGCACCCTGCAAGACAGTCTAGTCATCCACTTCTCCCATAGAGGTAGCTTCTTCTTTCTCAACACAGCTCTAATTTTATAACATTCAAAATTTAAAAGTGGTTTTCATCCAATATGTCAGAGCTGCTGTTAGTGGGGGTTAATAAAATAAAGTTGAAATACTAGGTATGTCAAGGTAATTACTCTCTGTGTATGAGTGCATTTAAAATATTGCAGGCAGATAGCATTGCTTGATGCTATTTTTTCAGTCCTCAAGTTTTGCACAACTGGGGTCACAATTTGTTTTGATGAAATATGTTAAGCATGCTATAAGCCCAGGAAAGATCTTTTCTACATCTTTCAGTTTACCTCAGAAGAATGCCGTGCAGGCCTCAGTCAGGGACTTTACTCACACCCAAACGTTTTAAGTGAACTCGTCTCTTAAGATCCCTATAAACTTGTTGCCCAATATTAAGATGCTGAAATCATGACATTTCCAATAAAGAATGATTCTTCACAACATGTGAGAGTAATTCAAAGAAGCGGGGCCTAGCCTAAATAGAAAAGCACTTGGGATAAGGCATTCCACAACTTGGTGATGCCAAACACTGGAATCTTTTTGTCCTCAGAAGCACCTTAGCTGGCAGAAGGACACACAGAAAGGCATATCCAACTAAAAACACAGGGTGGATAGAGCCAAAAACCAAGGAGATGGTCCTTAAAATATTCTGGACTTACATTAGAGACGGGGATCCATGCCCTCCAGGTGTTGGATCTGTGAGGGCCATCATCCCTGAGCTTTTGCCATGCTGCCTGGGGCAAGTGGGAGATTGGAGTCCCGTGACATCTGGAGGGCTATAAGTTCCTCATTCCCATCTTAACAGTCTGGGACTGCAGCGATGGTATGGTGAAGGACCAGAGCTAAGTGCTTTGCATGAAGAAGGCCCCAGGTTCAATCCCTGGCATAATAATAACAATAACAACAACATTTATTTATTTATTATTTATACCCTGCCCATCTGGCTGGCCTTCCCCAGCCACTCTGGGCTGCTTTCAACAAAAATATTAAAATACAGCAATGCATCAAACATTAAAAGCTTCCCTAAACAGGGCTGCCTTCACATGTCTTCTAAAGTCTGGTAGTTGTTCTCTTTGATATCTGAAGGGAGGGCGTTCCACAGGGCGGGTGCCACTACTGAGAAGGCCCTGTGCCTGGTTCCCTGTAACTTCTCACAGTGAAGGAACCGCCAGAAGGCCCTCGGCGCTGGACCTCAGTGTCCGGGCAGAACAGTGGGGGTGGAGACGCTCCTTCAGGTATACTGGACCGAGGCCGTTTAGGGCTTTAAAGGTCAGCAGCAACACTTTGAATTGTGCTCGGAAATGCATCTTCAGTTAGAAAGATCAAGTGGACCTCTGCCTCTGGAGAGCTGCTACCAGTCAAAGTAAACAATACTGGACTAGGTGGGCAAAATGTCTGGCCTGGCATAAGCAAATTCCTAGCATCTTTAATTGTGGTTGGAAAAGAGCTCAAAAGCTGGCAGAGGAACGGAGTGACCTCCAGAACAAAAAATTTGCCAGTTCCACTCGAAGCTTCATTTGCTTGATTAGTGCTTCATTAGAAATGGGTAAGTTCTGAATGAAGAGTTTTGCATGACTCAAAGCGTGCATAAACGGAAAAATAAAAGAGAGTGTAGCTCATTATTCTGGGCTAGAGCCAACTACAGTGGTAAGTACTTAATTCGTTCTGGAGGTCCGTACTTAACCTGAAACTGTTCTTAACCTGAAGCACCAGCTAATGGGGCCTCCTGCTGCCGCCGCGCCGCCGGAGCACAATTTCTGTTCTCATCCTGAAGCAAAGTTCTTAACCTGAAGCACTATTTCTGGGTAAGCGGAGTCTGTAACCTGAAGCGTATGTAACCTGAGGTACCACTGTACTTCAGGGCAGTCAAACGTTTGGTGGTGCTCTACCTGTTGCACCAATAGAAGCCCAGAAGGCTCTTGCTGTACCCCAGTCAGTTGAATCAAATATTCTAATGCAGAATTATATATCAAGATATTTGGTTTGCCAGTGAGTAGAGCCTTGACCACCATCACTGGCACACTTTTTTCAATAAGCTCTATAACCAGTGTGGTGTAGTGGTTAAGAGCGGTGGGCTCGTAATGTGGTGAACCGGGTTCGCTTCCCTGCTCCTCCACATGCAGCTGCTGGGTGACCTTGGGCCAGTCACCCTTCTCTGAAGTCTCTCAGCCCCACTCACCTCACAGAGTGTTTGTTGTGGGGAGGAAGGGAAAGGAGAATGTTTGCCGCTTTGAGACTCCTTCGGGTAGTGATAAAGCGGGATATCAAATCCAAACTCTTCTCTTCTTAATGGCTTTTAGTAGATTTGTATTTGGAGTGGGATATGTACTCATTTCCTAACACAGGCCAACAGTGACTACACCAAAGGGGTAGCAGCACAAGACAGAACCCCCAAAACCAGCAGAAGCAAGAGTCTGATTTTTTTTTGAACTCCATGGTATAAATCTTAAACACAAAAACATTTCAAGCTACCATCTTAATTCAGGGAACAATATTTTTTAAAAAGAATACATGAAAACGATCAAGAACTTCAGTTAAAAATTCTTCTCATAAAACATAATGAAACGTATAATGATCAAACAATAATTCAACAAAGAAACAAGGACATATTAAGAACAAATATATCAAGGATCAATGTTTCCCTCAAAGAAGAAAAGTTATTTCAGGAGCTGGACAATTAGGATAGCAGATGGGCTGCAAACCTATATAGAATCCGTCTGCAGAAAGGAACTTGAAATCAAATATAAGCAAACATTTATCCTTTCCTAGATTCAAAACAAATGCTGAACTTTATAAACCATATAACATAATAACGCCAAAAAATGAAATAGTATTACTCACTAGGGGGGGAAAACACCAACATCTTTGCTGCTTTATTTAGCAGACTTATCTTCCTAAATCGGTGGTTCCCAATTGGTAGTCCACAAACCCCACAGGGTCTGCATAACTCACCCAGGGTGGTCTGTGGCCCCATTTGCATAGCAAAAACTACCATAGAGATCTCAAAAGTCTTGAAAGTAGGGGGTCAATTCCTTGGCTTTTGAAAAACTGGGGGTCGACAGTACTTAGCTAACTGGGAACCACTGTCCTAAATGAAGCCCTGTGTATATAGTGTACACAGTATATAATTCTATTTGGCCAATTATTTAAGGACTGTCCTTCCATCTCTACTTATGTTGGATCAAAGGCTGTTATTTTGATCTTCAATCTTCTCTAGGTCTCTCAAAATCAGTGTTTTCAAAAAATCTGAATTGATAGATATATCATACCAGAAGGAAGAAAAGCTTAGTCATCTGCAAATGGTCTATAAGCCACAGGGGAGGCAGCATAGCGCTCCCTAAATGGCATGTTCCCAATAAAATTAAAAAATTTAATTTAATTTTCAATGCTTAATGTCTAAACAGAAGGCTTAAATATATACCTTTATTTAAAACATACTGAGTCTGAGTAACAAGCAACAATTAGGTTGATTAGAAATCAAGTCTCTCTCTCTCTCTCTCTCTCTCTCTCTCTCTCTCTCTCTCTTCCTGGTGCAAAAATTCAAAGCTTCATGAAGTTGCTCCTGTCCTTTTGCTAGAAAAGATCCCTCTGTGGGTTCTTACTGAAAAGAAAAGAAAGGGAGATAAATTGGAAGCAGATGCTCTGTTGTTGTCATCTGAGAAAGCACAGTCTGAATCCTCTATAGGTCATCAGAATCCACAAAGGAAAGATAAAATGTGTGTACTGACCGGATTCTTCTTTAAAGAAATTCTGATAAACACTATTATCCTCCTAGTCACTTTTGTGTCTCCGCTTCACATTTTTTCCATTCTTGGAGGTGAGAAAACCCCTAGTTCAATTGACTCCAGTGCACCATAAAAGAAAGATTAAATGTGGTTTAAGATCTTCACTATCCGTCTCTACTCTCTGGGTCCTACCAAGTTGAACACACCCACCAGTCATACATTGCAGCAATCTAGATACTTGAAATAAAGACAAAAAGTAACACCAAGAGTGTAAGGCAAGGGGTGGGGGAACCTTTGGTGCACCAGATGTTTCTGAACTACAACTTCCACCAAACCTAAGAACCATGGCCAGGGATGTTAAGAGTTGTAGATCAGCAACACGGAGGATTAAAGCTTCCCTACACCTGGCCACCTCATGCTTTGGCCACCTCATGAGAAGAG